GGAACTTTTTTTAAATGCAGGTGTTCTCGCTTCCTGAGTAGATTAAAATCTTTGGGGTAGGGAGTTTAAAGGGAATCCTGGCTTGTGTGTTTAGAAAGTTTCCTGAGGGACTCTGCCCTGCAAATAAGTTGCAGGCATGTCAGAAAGTAGGAGTTTACATTATAAAACAGTTGAAAACTAAAGCCAGATGTCCTGGAAAGTATTAACTATTTTTCTTTGAGTCTTGGGATGGAAGTGGCTAGGATTTGGGAGACAACTTTAGCTCCTATTAGGAAAAGAGCAGGGAAGCTGGATATGACATATGTGTCCTTCTTTTATGAGTAGCTTTGCCTAGGTTGGACCGAGTTGATTTTAGTACATGTACGTCCTATCAATTGCACGTTTTTGTGAGGACTCAGGGTCTCCTAAAATGTCATTAAGAGAAATATGAGAGTAGGCCACTGCTGGTGAACATATGTGGGTTTATGCCCGCACTACTTTAGCTAAATAAGGGTATTCGGGCCATTAATGGCTAGAAGATGTGAAACACTTAGTATAATACTACGATGCATTGGCTGGAATGAATGTGTGGGGTGTTGTTAGCATTAATTTACTCAAGTGAAAGGCATTACTTAGATTGCCCTTCAGAGTGCTTCTAGAAAGTGCCCCTAGTTATGGGAAAGAATGCTTTGGCGATAAAAACTACATTATAGTGGTTGTAGAGTCTCCTTCCAAATCATGTTTTCACCCTTGTGATTACTCCATAGGAGGTAACCCATGCCTAACGCCGTGGTTAGGTGTTAGGCATGGTGTTAGGAACTGGAGAATTCTTTCTGTGGTTAGACATTATTACAAATGGTAGCTTATTTTTTATTGGCCAACTGGGGCTGAAAAAAAGTTGACAACCATAGAACTTTTACAGTGACGCATACAATGATGACTGTATGATTTTCACGTCTCCATTTAAAATATATCAAGTATCTACTTGATATCTAGAGAGAGAAAAATAAGTGGTAAAGACAGTTTTTTTCCTGAAAGTTGAGAGAGAACATTTTTAACACATACCTGTATATATCCAAGTGACTCAAATAAAATAATCATGTCAAATTGCTGAAAGGTCAGAAAAGACTTAAACATTCAGCAATCAGTAAAAAGTAGCTAGAATCTCTGAATAACTGAGCAGGGTTTGTAAACTTACTTGCATGGTGGCTTCGCTGGGACAATTCCTTTCAAACCCCATCATTTGGTATTTTTAGGTCTTTTCTCTGATATTATCCATATTACTGAGCTCTGACTCTTCTGATTTCCTGCCTGGAGGATCTGATCGTGGCTGGAAATACTGGATGTGGAGAAAAGCAGCAGTCTAGGATATACAGTCACCATTCCATGAACGTGTCCTTAATCCTGTCATTGTCAGTGTGGGTGCACCTCCCCAGAATGCATCAGGAATGCTGTTCCTAGTTCCTAGTGGTACTGAATTTCCTAGTCCAGAAAATGCTGTTGTAGACTTTTTTTTTTTTTTTTTTGGTACCGGAAATCGAACTCAGGACTTTATGCTTGCCAGGCGGGTGCTTGTGCCACTGAGCTATATCCCCGGCAGTTGTACACTTTTTGAAGAGTAAACGTATGTATTTTTCCCAGCAGTGAAGAGAGGAAAAAAGGGCAATCTCTAGACTTCATGCTTTTTCTTGAGTAGACTTCCAACCACCCCTTCTGTTGTTAATCCCCCCCTCACTCCCAGGTATCCATTATTATCGCCTCACTTTTGAAGGGTCAAGAGTTCATTTAGTTTGCCTGTTGCCTTTCTCTGCTGCTGGTTTTCCCATCCAGCTTTGTTCATCACTGAACAACTTACCACTTTTCAATCTACTTTACAGCTTTAAAATTTTTTTATCTGATCATTTTGTCTCGATCCCTTTTTTCATTAGGTTTAAATCCGTTAAAATGAGTTCATTGACTCCCCATTTAGTGGGGTAGAGAGAGCAGGAGTTAGTGTACGCGTTCAATTTGCCATCTTAACTGTATTGTTTACCTTTTAAAGATCTCGTTTAACATGTGGTTTTGTCATATAGAAGTTTTCAGTTTGCATGCTTGCACATCTGTTTGTCTTTTTCAACATGAATTTGGGTTTTCATCAAAACTACAAAGGTAGACATTAAAATGATCTTCTCCTGTATTTAATTCTAATACTTTTATAGTTTTTTTTAACACAAGAAATTGTTTTTTTGTATTTCATGAAAGTGTAATGATCTTGTTTTTTAAAAATTGCTAGCTGGTTTTCCAGCACTTCATTGAATATACTGTTATTCATATATTTTAAAAATGTACTTATATTCTACACTGTTTTCTATTTTTTTACTTAGTGATGCTCTACTTCTACTTTTTATATAAATCCATTTGGTTTTTCTGTCTTTCTCAGTGTACCCATGAGAAATTCTCTCCCTTTTTATGGAATCCATCCTATACCCTATAGGGAATCACCTCTAGAAAATTATGTTTTTGAATCAGTATTTCTAACAGTTTTTACTTAGTCTTATTTTTATAAATGATATTTTCAAAATTACACTTTTAAACTTTTGGGCTACATAGAAATATAAATAGTTTTGTATTGACATCATAAGAGCAGTCCTTTCTCATGTTTCTTATCCTAATAATTTCTCTATAGATTCTTTTGAGTTTCTTATACTGTCAAATCATCTGTGGCTGATGATGTTTTTGTTGTTTCTCTCATCCCGTGTTTTGACCTTTTATTTCCTTTCCTTGTTTAATTGAACTGAATGAGACTTCAAGTACAGTACTGAATAGACATGGGCATAACTCTTGTGTGTGTGCTTTCTAAGGGAATGCCTTTAATGTTTTAATCATTATATGTGACCTTTGCTGTGGGTATTTTGCTTGTAGATGCCAGTTACTAAACTAGAAAATGTCCTTCTGTTCCTGGTCTACTGAGGGTTTTTTTTTTTTTTTTGAGACAGGGTCTCACTACATAGGTCAGGCTGGTCCTGAACTATGTAGTCTAGGCTAGCCTTTAACTCAAGGCAATCCTCCTGCCTCAGCTTCCCAGGTGCTGGGGTTGACCACACCTGACCATACTGAGGATTTTTTATAGTACAATAAAAATGAGGTTTTAAATAAGAGCTTTTTCTGCTTCGATCTTGATAAGCTTTTTCACCTTAGATTTATTATTGATGTGAATTGCAGTACAGGTTTTCTAATGCTGACCAAATCTTATGAATATAAGTTCAACTTAGTAGTTATGAATTTTCTTTTTTTAACACTACTAATTCAGACTGCTAATACTTCTTGATTAGGACTTTTTGTATCACTGTTCATGAGTAAAAATGGGTTGGAATCTACATTTTTGTGATGTCTTTGACAATTTTAATATCAGTGATATACTAACTTCATAAAATGTGATAAAAAGTTCTTCTAATTACTCTATTCTAGAAAGTTTTAAGTAAAACTGAGATTATTTGTCCACTGAATTTTTGGTAGAATCCCTGGCAAAATCAAAAAGGTTTTTGTTTTCTGAGTGCAGAGATTATAAATTACTGATTCAGATTCTTCAATAGTTGTAAGACTATTAAGGCTATACTATTTTTTTTTGAGTGTTGATAGTTTATATTTTTATAGTATTTTCCCACATGGCGTGTTTTCCAAATTATTGATAAGAAATTACTTGTAACAGTCTGCTATTATCTGTCTAATCTTTGCAGTTGTGCCCTACTTTTCATTGTTTATTTTAGGTTTTTATTTTAAAGAGAAAACAACAACAACCAAGACAACAAAACAACAACAACAAAAAAACCAGTAAAAACAATAGAGAATTTCAAAACCACTTTTCATTCTTAATACTGTTTATCTGTCTTTTCTCTTGATCAGTTGGACTGGAGTTTTGTGTATTTTTATTCTTTATTTCAAAGAACTAGTTATCTTTGTGAATAAAACAATGTAGTATTAACAGTTAATTTTCCTTGTCATTGAGATACAATATCAACCACAGTTTAAGAGATTTACTGTATTTTAGGTCACATTTTAGAAATTGCGACCCTTGCATGGTTGGTGCTGAGGCCACATGGCATGGCAGAGGAGAGCTGCCCAGGCTCTCCTGTAGTAGACAGGAAGCAGAGAGTGAAGGGAGGAGTGAGGGTAGCAGACAGACCCTTCCAGGGCCACCTCCTGTGGCCCACCTCTTCCAACCAGCCTCGCCTTTCAATAGCAAGTCAGCTCTAAGCCCTGTTACCCAGTCACCTTCTGAAAGGCCCACCTGTGAAAGCATAAGGCTCTTGGGGTCATCTAGATATAAACTGTATATAAACTATATTTTACTGTGTTTTAGTTTTATTAAGTTCTCATATGTTTTATTATTTAGAGTCATTGGGTCTTCTCTCTGTCTGTTCTTTAACTTCCACCTTCTTTTTGAAAACAGGTTGAGCATCCCCAACCTGAAACTGAAATCTGAATGTTTTAAAATTTAATTTGGGGGCAGGTTGGGTGCTGAGGATTAAGCTCAGGGCTTTGCACATGCTAAGCAGCACTCTGCCACTGCACTGCTTATCTTTAGCCAAAAATCTGAAACTTTTTGAATTCAAACATGATACTACCTATGTGATAGGTAACAGTCCAAATACAGCTAAAAGTATTGTGAAAATTACCTTCAGACTATGTGTGTAAGGTGTATATAAATCATAAATGCATTTTGTGTTTAAACTTCGGTCCAATTCCTAGCAAATATTTTTAAAAATTCAAAATACTTTCGGTCCCAAATATTCAGACAAAGTATACTCAATCTGGAAACAAAAAAGGATATTCAACCTGTGTAAGCATTTAAGTTTGTATATTTTCCTACCCTTTTGTGTTTATTACAAAATTGTCAACTGGAAGTGGAGAAAAGGGTCTGATTCTGACTTTGTCAATTGTGCCTAGATTTCATGGTGTTCACCATGTCAACCTATATGATTTCGATATGCATATGAGAAAAGTATCCTAATATTGTTTTAATATCATCTTCTTTCATATAGGATTCCCCTTTATTTGATCTTATTAAACAGTCAAAGGATCGAGAAGGACCAGCTGACCACCTTGAATCTGCCTGTCCTCTCAACCTTCCTCTCCAAAATAATCACACTGCAGCTGATATGTAAGTAGGATATAATATTATCTTACCTAGTCAAACTAAAAGCTGATTTTGAGCATAAGGGTCATGCAAGGCACCATGTAGAAATTGTAGAGGACTGAATTTTTGCATAAGACATTGTTCCTCCGTTTTAAGAATCTGGGTCCTTCCTGTTCATAGAGTTTTACATTCTGGAGGAGGAACCAGTAAGATGTATGACCTAAATAAAGTCATGTAAAGGAATACAAAGTGCTACTGAATCACATGGAATTGGTACGAGGAGGGGAGGTTTTCATAGCAAAATAAGATTTCAACATGAAAATTGAAGAGAGGAGACAGAATAGTGCTTCAAGAGCCAGAAATGTTATGTACCCATAACAGCTAAGAAGGTCAGGCGCATTGTCCACAGTGTACATCAGTTCATCTGGAGGGAACATAAGATAAATCTAGGGAGAAGTGTAGACTGTGGATCAACACAGTTAGTACATGATAATGACAGTGGGAGAGAAAACGTAGCTAACATTTTTGAGGTCTCACTGTGTTCTGGGCAGTTACTTCCATATCTTAGATTCATGTTTTTCATTTAACCTTCATACCACCTCTATAAGGCAGTAGTTACCTCTTTAGGTATCTGTAGAATGAGAATTACAGAAATAAAGTAACTTGCCTAGGGTCAACAGAAATCTAACCAAGCAGTCTGCCCCCAAAGTCCATGTTGTTAATCACCCTGGCTATGCTACCTTTTGTAGAAATGTGCTTATTGTTATGTTTCTATTTAGTTCTATGTAGGAATTGGCATTACAGTATTCTGTGAGTAGTACAGAGACCATTTTCCAGAGATGTCATGCAGTGCTAACTTGTATTCCCAGTATTTCTACATTCATGTAGAATCTCTGTTCATTTGTTTGGTAGGTAACACCTTTATATAAATAAGTCAAGCCTTATTTTTTTCTTTAATTTAATGTATAGTTAATCCATTAAGTGCCAGGAAGACCGAAATAAAATGGTCTGGGTCCTTCTGCTCATAGAGTTTTACATTCTGGAGGAGGAACCAGTAAACAAGTAAACTAATATATAAGTTGATTTTAGATTATAATAAGTTTTATAAATTAAATGAACAGAGTGATATGAAAGTCAGAAGCTGAGAGGATGATAAAATATTTAACAACACTGTCTTTTTTCTGATGAAGTAATATTTTGACCTAAAGGACAAGTGGATGCTAGCCAGGCAAAACTCATGTTTTAGAACAACAGAAGTTGGCTTGTTTGAGGACTACAAAGGGTATCATGAGCAAGAGGATAGTGGTACAAGATGAGGTCTGGAGACACATCCTGGGGCTAGATTTTATAGTTTCCTATTGGACGTAGTAAAGAATTTGGATTTTATAAGGGGAGTGGGCAACCATTTAAGCAAGGATGCAGTTTGCTATAATTTCTATTTTTCATTGACCTCTCTCTAATATTGTTTGAAGGTCCAGATGGATTTTGGGGAGAGAAAAGATCAGCACAAGAAAATAAGTGGGTAGATGCCTTGGTCTAAGACACAACATTAAAGATACAGTGAAAGATTAGAGATAGATTTAATTTAATAGGTTTTACATCAGATTTGAGGAACTGGGAAAATGTAGAAATTAAGATGTAATTCTTGAGGTTTTTATTTTTTTTAACTTTAAAATACTATATATAATATGAAGCCATTCTTTGAGATGGGGGAAATTTGGGGAGAACCACGTGTAATCCCAGCACTGCGAGAAGCTGAGGCAAAAGGATCACAAGTTTGAGCCCAGACTGGGCAACTTAGCAACTTATCTCAAAATTTAAAAAACTGAAAAGTGGCTGGGGATATAGTTCAGCCCCAGGGCTCAATTCAAATACAAAAAAAAAAAAAAAAAATCCACCCAAAATTCAACAACTTGAATTTTTTGACTTTAAAATACTAGATGTAATGTTGATCCATTTTTGAGATAGGAAGAAATACAACATTCTGCTTTGGCCATATTAAGTTTGAGATTAAAGTAGTGAAAGCCATTAGTTAATTGGACATTTGCATCTAGAATTCAAAGGAGATTAACCCTTGCTCAAGTCAAATCATTGTATAATTATCAGTTAGGGAAGTCCAAAGGGGATAGGAGACCAAATAGAGTACTGGTACTTATAAAAATCTTTGTGTGGGTAAGTCCTTTTTCCTAGTGCACAAGTTAGTAAACTATATATAATAGAAATGTTCATGGTAAGGTACAAATCCAACTTACTCAGAGTTATTTCTCAGCTATTAAAACTAAATCAGAAAATAGATGTGGATTATTTTGTTAAACAGAGGGTAACACAGAGCAATAGAATTGCTATAAATTGAGAGATAATATTTGATAATATCCCTGCCTTGATTTATACCTGGCATATTTAGTACACAAGTGTAATCTGTCTTGATGATATTAATTGAAGTATTAAGTCATAAAATTCCGTACTTTGTAATTTAGAAGTGTGTGTATAATTTAAGTCTTATACATATGAACCATAGCTGTCAATTACAAAATCAGCAGGAGGATGATCAGAAACATATTACAACACTATTTGGTGTTAATAACTTGTTTTTTTAAACCAGTCATTTCTGGTCTCAACCCCATTATAATTATTAAAACAGAAAATTATTCATGTACAGCTATTTTTCCCAGTAAATCAGTTAATTCATTGGAAAAGCCACTTATTAAAATACAATTAGATATGATGATGAGAAGCATAATTTTCCTATTAAGTTATCTTTCCCAGTTCACACTTAAAATAACCTGCTCAGAGAATTTGGTATAGGATACCAGATTAAATAGGTAATATGTGTCTGGGTGTATGTGTACAATGTGTGTGTGTGAGTGTGTGTGTGTGTGTGTGTGTGTGTGTGTGTGTGTGTGAGAGAGAGAGAGAGAGAGAGAGAGAGAGAGAGAGAGAGAGACTTCTAGCAAACTTCAGATGAAAACTTTCCCTTTGAATACATATAGGTATCTTTCTCCTATAAGATCGCCAAAGAAAAAAGGTTCAACTGCACGTGGAAATTCTACTGCAAATATAGAGACACAAGCAACCTCAGCCTTCCAGACTCAGAAGCCATTGAAATCTACCTCCCTTTCCCTCTTTTACAAAAAAGGTCAGTAGATTACTTTCAAGAACATGGATTCTAAAACCAGGCTGACTAGGTTTAAATCGTGGCTCTTTTACTTAGAAAGTGTGACCTTAAGCAAGTCACTTAATACCTCTATGTCTTAATTTCCTCATCTGTAAAATGGAAAGGATAATGACAGTAAACTGTCCTATAATCATAGTTAAAATATAAATCAACACATTCACAACTGACCCTTAATTTATGTGTTTCATTGCTAGGCAGCTTGAACCACCTATGGTACATGCATGACTGTACCACTTGTACCAGCAGTGATACAAGCCACCCAATGGAGCAATCGTACATGTACCACCAGTGGTTCAAGCTGGCAGGAGCATCTTGTTTTTGTTTCGTTTCGTTTTTTGTTTTTTTTTTGGTCTTCTTCCGGTACTGGGAATCGAACTCATGACCTCATACTTGCGAGGCAGGTGGTGTGCCGCTGAGCTAAATCCCCAGCCCCGTATCTTAATACATATAAAATGCTTCCAATAGTGCCTGTTCACCTATAAGGAAAACAGTGGAAGAGGTGAGGGTATTATTAAAATGTTACTGAACAGCATTATGGTTAGAACAGTTTAATGATTTGAGAAATATCCATTTGTAATTGAAAATTAAAAGTAGACATATTCATCCCCCTTATCTCCACAGTGTACCGGTTAGCATATCTCCGACTAAACACTCTGTGTGCACGCCTTCTGTCTGACCATCCAGAACTGGAACACATCATCTGGACCCTTTTCCAGCATACACTGCAGAACGAGTATGAGCTGATGAGGGACAGGCATTTGGACCAAGTAAGAAATTCAAATGCTTCATATTTTTTCTCCCTTCTAATTTATTTATTATGCATTGGTTTCTTAAGAAAAGGTTGGATTCAAATAAGAAGCTAGATTAGCCTAGTATACTTTGTATATATTCACTTATTGGCTACCATTTGTATTTTTGCTATACCTTTTAAAATTAAAGCTTTAGAGTTTAAGAGTATATTTCAGTAACTACTTATTTAATGACATAGTATTCTTATTTATAAAAAATCACTGAAGAACTTGTTTGACATAAGCTTTTTTGTGTTGTAATAAGCTAGATTTCATTTTAGTGTAGAAAACATAGGAGATTTAAGAATCGGTCAAAAACAGTGCCTGTTCTATGAATGAGTGAATGAATGAATAAATGAATGAATGGATGGATGGATGGATGAAGTTAGTTTATAAACAGAGTGATTTATCTTCCTTTTCTCTTAAAATGGGTCAAAAGGACTACTTGGGGGGGGGATAACAGTTTATTAATATAATTTTGTGAACTGTAGAAGTTACTTATTTCAAGTGTGCAATTCAGAGGTTTTCTGTGTATTCATAGAGGTGTGCAGCCATGACCACAATCAGTTTTAGAGCATTTTCATCACACCAAAAAGAAACTCCATAACCTTTAGGAGTAAACTCTCTGCTTCACCCCTTCAGCCTTAGGCAACATTGATCTATATTATATTAGCCTTTTACCTAATCTTTTCCTCTTACATGCAGGTTTAAATCCATTTTAAGCTATCCTTTTTATAGGTAATGTGAGGTGTAGGTTCAACTTCATTTTTTTGTTGTTGTTGTGGATAGTTATTCAGTGCACTTTTTGACTGTGTATAGCTTGTTTTTGTTTGGTGTTTTCTGTAGTGCTGGGGATTGAACCCAGGGCCTTGTACATGCTAGGCAAGCACTCGACTGAGCAATACTTCAGCACCTCCTCCATAGCACTATTTCTTCAAAAAGTCTTTTCTTTTCCCACTGAAAGTTTTTGAAAAATTAATTGATTATATATGTAAAATGTTTATTTCTTGACTCATAATTCTGTTCTGTTGATCTGTATAGCTGTTCTTTTGCCAGGACAATGCTGCCTTGGTTACTCTAGTTTTGTAGTGGTCTTTTCAAATAAGGCGGTATCACCGCACTTCATTCTTTTTCAAGATTGACTTAACTATCACGAAACTTGCACTTCCGATGAATCTTAGGATTGACTCTAGCTTCTGCAAAGAAGACTGAAGGAAATTACATTGAATCAAAGCTTAATTTCAGGAACATTATCATTTTAACAACTTTTTTAAGTCTTCTAATTTATGAACGTTAGATATCTTTCCATTCATTTAGACCTTTTTAATTTTTTTTTCAACAGTTTCACTTGTTTTATTAAATTTATTCCAAAATATTTTATTCTTCTAATAACATTATAAATGGAATTATTTTCTTAATTTCAATTTTGGATTATACATTGCAAATAAACAGAAATGTAATTGAGTTTTACATAGTGTTATTAGCTAGAACCTTGATGAATTTATTAGTTCTGATAGTTTTTTGGTGGATTCCTGTAAGATTTTCTATACATAAGATCATGTCATCTGGGCATAGAGGCAGTTTTACTTTTTTCTTTTCAATCTGAACACATTTTATTTAGTTTTCTTGCTGAATTTCCCTGCCTAGAACCTACAGTGTTCACTGAAAGTGGCTTGCAAAAGGATCTCATTTTCTTGATTTTGACATTGGAGAAAAGAATTCAGTTTTTTTCACCATCAAATATGTTGCTTACTGTATGTTTTTTGCATATACCCTTTTTAGTTTGAAGATGTTTCCTTCTTTTCCTACTAGCTTTTATCCTGAGTGGGTGTTGGATTTTTGTCACATGCTTTTTCTGTATCTATTGAGATGATCAGGTGAAATTTTCCTCTTATTATATTGACATGGTATATTACATTGATTTTCAGATGTGAAACTCATCTTGCAATTCTGGAGTGAATCTCATTTGGTCACAGAATATAATCCTTTTTAAGATGTTCCCAGGTTCAACTTGGCTACTCTTTGTTGAGGATGTTTGCATACATAAGAAATATTAGTAGTTTTTTTTATGACATTTTTATCTGGTTTTTGCTGTCAGAGAAACACTAGCCTCAACTGGGAACTTTTCTAATTCCAGAAGAGTTTGTGAAGAATGCATACGGAGTTTTCTTTCTGTATTTGGTAAATCCATCTGGGCGTGGGCTTTTTGATTACTAATTCAAGATCAGATTTTCTGCTGCTTCTTCTTTTTCTTTTCTCTTTTTGAGACAGGGTCTCGCTATGCAGTTCAGGCTGCCTTGAGCTCACTTTGTAGTGCAGGCTATTCTCGAACTCCCAACAATCCTCCTGCCTCAGCCTCCCAAGTGCTGGGATTACAGGCGCGTACCACCACGCCTGGCTTCTGTTTCTTCTTGAATCAGTTTTGGTAGTATTTTTTATTCTCGAAGTGTGTCTATTGCATCATAGTTACCTATTTTATTGGTATAGAGTTGTTCATAATATTCCAATATAACCTTTTTATTTCTATAAAATTGATAGTAATATTCACAATAAGACATATGCTGGGCAGAAGATGGATTATTTCATAAAGATGTAGCCTACAAATACCCATATTTTACAAGAGCCTACTTGGATTGTAAAAATTCCAGTATTCTGAATTTTTAAAAGAAAGCACATGGGTGTGGTGGTGCACGCCTGTAATCCCAGCACTTGGGAGGCTGAGGCAGGAGGATCACCATGAGTTCCAAGCCAGCCTGGACTACACAGATGAGTTCAAGGACAGCCTGGTCAATTTAGGGAGACCCTGGCTCAAAGTAAATAAATAAGTAAATAAATAAATAAATAAGCACTTAACTGCCTACTTGTAAGTGCCTTTTTAGAATAATAAAATATTTTTAAAATCAAAATTTATACAAGTAGACACTGATTATTCTTATAGTTCTTCTGCTTTCAATAATATAGCAAGACAGACACTAGTGGTATGGATCTCTAAGATTAGATATCTGGAATCAAGATTTCTTGCGTGATGCTCAAGACACTCTACTTTAAAGCTTTAATGATCTAAGTATTAAAGTAGAGAAAAAGTAAGGTGGATACTGGACAGCATTCCAAGTACAAGGAATACTAGATTTGGGATTGGAAGGATGCTGAGCAAGGGATTGATACTCTTCTGGGCAATAGTAGGCGTAACCAAGAATGTTGCAGAAGTGATGAGTACTTAAGTTAGACAAAAAGTTTATACAGATTAAGGAAGTCTGTTGTTTTTAAATCACAAGGAGTCACCTTTACATCTTACTTTTGCATTTAAAATACTTCTTATTGAAGTGTAATATCCTATACAGAAAAACCCACATATTGTAAGGATATATCATAATGAAAATTCAGCAAGTGAATTCATCTATATTACCAGCATCTGGATCAAGAATTTCAACAACACTGAAGCTTCTCTTTTACTCCCTTTCAGTCACTTCCTTCTCCTTACCAACACTAAGTCTCTTCAGTGTTGTTGTATATGCTAGTTTGAAACTTTTTCACACTTGAGGCTTTTGAAGTGCTAATTATACAACTAACTGACTCCAGTTTCAACATTTCCCCTCTGGGAAACGTTAAAAGAATGTGGGCCAAATTTGGTTCATTTCCAAACCAGACAACCAGTTCTGAGTAACTGAGTTGGGTGTTTGCATTGTGTTCTTTGTGTTTTGTTGGGTTAAACACTTCTCATAGACTTTCAGTCTAAGCTTTTGATGGGGAGAAAAAAAAACCCTATAGAAATGAAATTTCCATCTTCCATCTGAGGCTAAAGAAAACATGAGAGAATTATTTTAAAATTCTATTTTTATATTACCTTTATTTACTAGATTATGATGTGTTCCATGTATGGCATATGCAAAGTGAAGAATATAGACCTTAAATTCAAAATCATTGTAACTGCATACAAGGATCTTCCTCATGCTGTTCAGGAGGTAGGTAATCTTCCATGGTAAGATTTATTTGGATAAATCCATATCTATGATATAGATAATTTCAGTCATTAAATTATATATTCTGATCTTACTATATAAATTTGCAAATTAAAATTTTTCTTTAATATTATTGGTTAATTACTTGTAACTAAAATGGAATTGGAAAGGTAATAAGTAAGACAAATTATGAAACGACTCAAATTCATAGTTATACTATATCCAATGAGTAGGCTATTTTAATAAACTTGACATAATTAGGACATTAAATGTTCTTTTAAGTTATTTTTATTACTCCATAGGGAAAGCCAGTGTAAATGTAGCCTTGTAAGAAATAACATCAGTGTAAACACATTTTGTTTCCAGTTTAATCTTCCTGGTAGAGAAGCAGTAGTAGTACAATACACTTGTGAAACACACCTTATACTCTACTGTGGCAAATGAGTTGTGGGTTATTTTCCAGTTTATATCTGCCATTTTCAAAAGTAATACAAACCAGGGCATGTTAGTTTATATATTTGGAGTTATTTTGTAAACCTAGTCATTTTAATTCTGTATTTCAGAGGCATCCTATAAAATCTTCTTTTACCCTGGCGTTGTGATGCTCTCCTATAATCCCAGCATGCCAGGAGACTGAATCAGGAGGATCACAGGCATGAGCCCAGCTTGGGCAACAGAGTAAATTAGTGAGACCCTGCAAAATAAATATCAAAAATAAAAAAGGCTTAGGATGTAGCTCACTGCAGAGGCCCTCGGTTCAATCCCGATATCACAAATAAATACATAAATAAACAAATAAAATACAATCCTTGTACTTTTATATAACTAAAACTTTAGTAGAATCTAGCTGTTAAAAAAAGAGACCCTCTACTGAATGCTGCTTGCAGTGGAGTAGTATATATTTCCTGAACCCTTTACAGGAGAGGGGTGCAGGAAAATAAACCCTAAACATTAATGGATAATATTGTTGGTTTTTGTTCAGCTCTGGTCCTTTGGTTCCCAAAATGCCTTTATTCTGGCAGCCTGTCCACTTGTGTCTCTGGGGAGGCCCGGCTGTGTTATCTGCTGCAGCTTGGCTACTTCCCTGGGTCATTTGTGACCTTTCACTTCTGATAGAGCACCTAGAATCCGAGCCTAGGAAGGCTTTTTCAGATTATTTTTTCTTGTATAATTTGTGTTTCTTACTAGTTAAAAAGTATTACAAACTATTAGAAAAGAAAATCTAAAGTGAAATTCTTAAATTTATTTAATAAGTACTTTTCTTATTCTTCCTCAGACATTCAAAAGAGTTTTGATAAGAGAAGAGGAGTATGATTCCATTATAGTATTCTACAACTCAGTTTTCATGCAGAGACTGAAAACAAACATTTTGCAGTATGCTTCCACGAGGGTATGTGGAAAGTATCATCTAGGGGAAAGCTAATTATAAAGAAATAAATCTCACTGCAACATTAACTAAAATTAAATTTACTTTCTTGGTTTTGCTGTAGCCTCCTACCTTGTCACCAATACCTCACATTCCTCGAAGCCCTTACAAGTTTTCTAGTTCACCCTTACGGATTCCTGGGGGAAACATCTATATATCACCCTTGAAGAGTCCATACAAAATTTCAGAAGGTCTACCAACGCCAACAAAAATGACTCCGAGATCAAGGTTGGTGTTTTCTCTTAAGAAGACAGTAAAAAATAAATACATAAACAAACATGAGAGGGAAACATTTTTATCAAAGCATAAAAATGTGAAGCTCTTTTTGTTTAGAATAAGCTAGACTTTTAGATTCTAATTTTCTTATTTATATTTGACATAAGAATTTGATACAAAAGAGTGTTTACTTGAATGACTTTACAGATTTAGTCAACTTTCTTAGCAGCTGGGAGCTCTTTTGTAGACAGTCTGAGAAGCAATTTGGTTATATATTTCAAAACATTCTAATATTTTTGTAAGCAGCCAATCTGCTAAACGAAGTAGATTACTTTAGGTTAGCAATATTTACTTTACCTTACTGGATTTCCTATAAACTTTTTGTGGACCTGGTCTATTTTTCTTGTTATAAAAGTGAAGATGACTTATTAAATGTAGACGACTTTCAATTAAGTCTTTAGAGGTCCATCCTTAATTCTGCCTGTGGCCTCCTTACGTTACCGAGGGCACCGTCTCTGTCTCTACTTGCAAAGGGTGCTGCAGATTAGCGAATGATGAGTGTGAAGCTGTTTTAAATTCTCAGATGAAAGGTTCTGTCCAACTGCAAATCATTATATTATCTTCCACACCCAACCACAGGTACTGTCTGGCTTTGAAGTTCTTCAATTTACTAATTATATGTTATCACAGGCTATTTGAAGCTGATTTTATTTGTATAAAGTCAGCGGCTGATGAGCTAGTATAGTTAATGTAGTCTCATCTCAGAAATTGTCAGCCCAGGTAGTTGTACTGAATGGGCAAGAGGAGCAAAACAGGAGAAGGGGCTGTATTCGATTTTTAAGAAATACCTGTGTGGTGGTTTAATGACATGACTAATGCACACTTGTGCTTAAAATTTCAAACTACTGAAAAATGTTAAGTATTGATTTTCAAATGAAAAAATGACAGTATGATGAAGGCGCTGTTGTGTGTCCCTGTAGCCTGCTTTATTTGGTGTTACTATAGTTGGTCATCTGTGTACTGATATCTGCAACTTAGATTATTAGCTCCTAAGATGCTATACCATGTCTAAGTCCCAAGCTGCTACTAAAAATGAATACTTAAGTAGTAGTTTAATGATGATAATTAATCCATATTGTGGTGATAATTAATTCAATTCTGTGTTGTTCTTCAGCAAAAAAACTCACATGTCCAAACCAGGTATGGCAACTCATGCCTATAATTGCAGCACTCGGGAGGCTGAGTCAGGAGGGTCGCTGTGAGTTTTGAGGCCAGCTTAGGCTACATAGTGAGTTCAGGGCCAGCCTGAGACCCTGTCTCCAAAAAAAAGAGTCATATATTCTAACTAATCATTTATCAAGCATCAAGAAAGCATCTTAATACTGTTTATGCAACACATTTAATCAAATGGTTAATCAAATATTTTACATAGATGATGGCTGCTTATTAAGGGAATGGAAGACAAAGTCTGTGTATGTACCAGTTTCATGTGCATATTTTAAACCATTGTGTTAGGGAATGTTGTTCTTCAGCTTTATTATCAATATCATGAATTATATGGTTCAAACACAGATTTACGATTCAGGGATATATAATAACCTTTATTATAGATCTTAATTAGAATTCTGATTACTACTTATAAGTAACTTGATTTTCAAGTGAAAAAATTTGAAATGAATTTGATAATTTACCCATTAATTTATGAAGACCTATTCCCACGGTGAACTTAAACCCTTCTTTTACCTTCTTTAAACAGGACCACGGCAGAATATGTTCTTACAGACCTAGAATTCTTGCTTTTAAAATCTAGGGGGAGGAGTATGGGTAGAGTAGTTCCTAGCATGTGCAAGGCCCTCAGTTGCATCCCCAGTATGGAAAAACCCAAAAGAAAAAAAAACAAAAAATCTACATGGGCTAGGGATATAACTCCATGGTACAGCATGTGTTTTGGTTCTGAGTTCAGTCTCCAGCACCAGAAAAAAAAATTAAATAAAAACCTAAGAAACCAGCTGAATGTTTGATCAGGCTAGCACTGGGACAGTAAGCTCCAAATGAATGAATATATTAGTGGTTGCAGGGTAGAGAACACCTCTGACTCAGTGTTTCTGATAGCTCGGGTGATAGATCTATGTTCATCTCTGCACATTTGCAAACTCTGTACATGATGTTCATTACTAATTTGCATTTCATCTTAACTTGACAGAATCTTAGTGTCAATTGGTGAATCATTTGGGGTGAGTATTTTCTTTCTATAAAATACAATGCCACAGAATATTTAGTAAAAAATAATTGGCAATATACAAGTGCTCTTGTGTACCTCTGTATCATCCTTTCTTGGTGTTCTTGTAGGTGGATATCTGTATACTTATATCTACATGTTACAGCTATAAAAGAAATTAAAGAGTTCTACAATTTGAATTAAAAAATGTTATTCAAGCACCTTATCCAGTCCTATTAAATGGAATTTGCAAGTTATGTCTCAGATTTCTTTTTAAGTCAGGTTTAATTACAAATCATACTTATAATTAGATTTCAAACTGTTTTGCAAACATTCTTCTCAGATTATGTAATGCATATATATACACCTATAACACGTTCATGTATATACACATATATGTTTACTATTTTTATTAACAGAATTTCTGACACCAAATATGTAAGGTTTTCCTCACACCTGCCTATTCTCCAACACTCTGGACACAAGTAGTATCCTACAATACAATTTAATTTTGATACTGATTACCCAGAGTTAACACCAGACCCCCCAAGTTGAAGAGGTCAGTCCTACAAGACTTGCCTCACTTTAGACAGCAGTCAGGAGTGCCAGGTCCCCAGGTTATACCACACATTCATCTGTCTTGGATAAGATGTTCCTACAAGACCTCTCCCTTTCAGGTTTGATCCTTTCCTACAGTGGCTCACAAACCTCTAGAAAATACTTTCCTTAATATTACCCGTTTATTATAAAGGATATAGATGAACATGCAGATGAAGAGATACTCATGGTGAAGTCCAGAAGAGTCTTACAAGAAGTATATGTCTCTGTGGACTTAGCAACTCTGAAATTCTTTCATCCCTGTTGTGGAAAGATTTTAAAAGGACTGGATTCCTTACATAGGCATAATTGATTAACCCAATCTCCAGCCCTCTCCTCACCCTGGAAGTTAGGAGGTAGGGCTGAAAGTTCCAAGCTTCTAATGAAGGCTTGGTCTTTCTGACAACCAGCCCCCATCCTGAAGCTATCTGGAGCCTAACAGATATGCCTAACAAGCATGACCTCATTAGAACAAAAGGTGTCCTGTCACCCTTAATCACTCAGGAGATCTTGTGGTTCTGGGGGCTCTGCACCAGAAACTGGAGACAAAGGTCAAGTTTCTTTCTTTGATATGACATTTGTGTGTATATAACTTCATAAGAATCTTTACCAAAATAGTTTGAAATTCAGTAACATGACTGTTTTGAAATGAGATACTCCAATATGTGAGCACCATCCAAATGTTACCAGCCTGTCCCTAACTACTTGCTTTCTTCTAACACATAAACACACACGCATGCATGCACTTTTGCTTGTCCTTTCTGTTAGACTTCTACAGTATTCTTTCTCTGATATATTGATTAGGAATTGATTACAAGAGAACCTACCCCAGTGACAGTGGCAGGGATTACATGGTGGTCTTTGTTCCAGGAAATGGAAGGGAAAGTGTAGCTTTGGAAGCATTATTCCAGGATAAGAACACACTACTTCTACTGGCTTTCCATTAATGTCACTAGTGGAATGTCACTAGTTCAGCAGTCCCACATATTCAGTGTTTGTCACTGTTAATATATGATGCCTTCCTATCCTGCCGAAGAGTTTAGATTCTTACATGATCCAGTGATGGTGAAACTTTTACAGCTTTCAGTGATACATACAGCCCAGTGTGGCATGTGTGCCATAGGTTCACCACCACTGAATTATATTTATAAACTCACCACTGAATTTATATTCTATAAGGAGAAGACTGCCCGCATAATATATTGCTGCAAAACAAATTACCCCTAAAATTAGTGAAGATTTCTTATTCTTAGTTTCTTGGAGTCAATAATCTGAGGACTTAACCACATCCAGGGTTCTTCTCAAAGCTGTGCTCAAAGGGTCAGCTGTGGCTCCAGTCAGATCAAGGCTTGCCTGGAGGAGCATCCACTGGTCAGCTCATGCATACAGTTCTAGCTGATCCTCCCTGACTCTCGGCCCACGCCGGCAGCCCCCTGCCACTTGGGTTCACCTACAGTGCTACTTGATAATGGCTAATGCACAGGGCAGCTTGCTTTCCCCACAGTAAGGACTCCCTGGGAGAGAGAGAGGAGGGAAAGAAAGGGGAAGCCACAACCTTTTTGTAACCTAATACTGAAAATGACATATCATCTTACTACTTTACCATATCAGTTACAAGCAAGACAATACTAGTCCAACCCAAGGCATAGAGGATCACATGAGGGTGTGAATACCAGGAGATGGGATCTCTAGGCATTTGAGAGGCTGCTAATCACACTGTCCCCAGACAAAATAACTAGAGAAGGGTATAGTTTGTATAAATGACCAAGTGTTTAAAATATTGAGAATAGGCTACAGCTGTCAGGGTTCACAGAAAAGATGTGGAACCATGCAAAAAGGGTTGGAGCTGATTAAGTATAAAATACAGGTCTTCAAACATCCTTAAACTAATTGAGAAAATACTGCATACAATTCCGTATTTTAAAGTTGATAGGCAAAAGTCTTACTAATATGGATACAAGATTTTCTGTTATTATATATGTCATAAATATATTTTTTCATCAAAACATATTTTTGCATTTGATTTTTGGAAAATGAAGCCTAACTGGCAAAGGTAATCCTACTGTCAAGTTCACTGGTCAAATCAGATGTAACTTCTATTAGAAGGTCTGGCTTTTTTTTTTTTAGTCCAAGTAAGCATGTTAATGTACATCTCTGAGACAGCCACTCACTCTGTCTAAAATAGCTAACAGAATTTTTCCACATATTTGTCCATTAGATAAAATAAGGTAGTGTACCTACTTCAGTAGTTCTTATCAAATCAGTTTGTTTTGGTGTGACATACGGCCCTTCAGGAAGTATCTCAGGTCATCTTCAGTAATTCAAATCCTGAAGTTTTTGGATATTTGATTTTTGATTTAAAACACTTTTTTGAAGTAGCAGCTTTTCAACCAATACCATATCAGTGGTGGCTTGTAATATGTAAATGATGTGACTTGTCCACATAATACCCATAAAATGAATCAAAAATTGGTATTCAGTAGACACATCATCTTTTACCAAATTCTCATGACTGTGTGTCTCATTATATAATACCCTAAAAAGAGACAGGAAGATCAGAAATACGTGGCCCTGACTGGACATTGTAGTGACTTAAGTGAGACCCTGTGTCAGAATAAAAAATACAAAAGATTGGAAATTTAGCTCATTGTGAAGGCTCTGGGTTTAATCCCCAGTATCCCCCCGCGCCAAAAAAAAAAAGAATCTGTCAAAAGCAAGGTCCCAGAAAGCTCACCCAGCTTTGCTGCATTCTGAGAAGGAGCCCTGTTTCAGGGGCAGTAGGTTCTAACAGTGAAGAGTCAGGGCTTTCAGAGGTATAGGCAGAGGTGTTAGAGGAGGAATAGCTACACTGGGGGAAAGACAGAAGGATTTTGAAGAAGAAGGCAGAATTGGTATAGTTCTGATTTTGAAATATTTGAAGCTCCTTATCTGGTCCAATAAAGCAGAAAGTTAAAATGAAGAAATAACTTCTGCTTGATTTGTGACATACCTCAAACCACGATTTATGGTTTACTTCAAAATGCTGGCATTTAATGATTTAAAATAAAGACTTCTGTAATTTGTAGACTTCTGAGAAGTTCCAGAAAATAAATCAGATGGTAGGTAACAGTGACCGTGTACTCAAAAGAAGTGCTGAAGGAAGCAACCCTCCTAAACCACTGAAAAAACTACGCTTTGACATCGAAGGATCAGATGAAGCCGATGGAAGGTAGGAACCATCCTGGTGTGTCTCGGTAGCTGAGCCGGTCAGCGCGAGAGTCCAGAGCCTCAGAGTTGCTCCTGATGCTAACCAGTCCTTTCATACCAGTTTATTATGGAAGTTGTGCTGATGGCTCCAGACGATAGCTATGAAAGTAGTCTACAGTTAAAGGCACCATAAAAAGCATATATAGTACCATCTACTGAAACTCAGTGCAGATAGCAGGTCTTTAGAAATCTATTCTATTCATGGTACCAAAAAAAAAATTATCATTTTTTTTTACAAAACTATTGGTAAAATTTTAACACAATTTTTAAAAATGCTTTTGAAAATACTAGCTACTGTGTTTTTTAAGAAACCTTGGAAAAAATATATAGGACAATACATTTGTGATAGTTTTATTGTAGATTGTCAGTTCATAAGCTTATAAAAGTTCACTAAAGTAATAACAAAATATCCATGAAAATGCCACAGTAATTAGAAATTTGAGTTTTTCACTTATACACAGGCATAGAAAACAAAACATTTTGCTTTCTTTCATCTGCAGTAAACATCTTCCAGGGGAGTCCAAATTTCAGCAGAAACTCGCAGAAATGAGTAAGTACTTACCAGTTTACCTTATATAAAGGAAAGAAACAATTGCTTTTATTGCATTCATTGTACCTTTGTAAAAGACCACACACGTAATTCCTTCAGGCAGCAGGCTTGTTTATGTGCTTATTTTTGTTAGTACGCATTTGCAGTAGATGTTTATATTCTTCGTGTGGAGTTGGCACATGTACAAAACATCTCAATTCCTTTCTCTTCTTTCTCTTCCCTTTTTCCCCTTTCCTTGCATCTCTTGATCCCTTTCCCATTTGAGAAAGTTCTGTCTCCCTAGTTTTATTTAATTTGCTCTTCATTTATAATTTGGGTTTCCCATATAAGAGAGAACATGTAATATTTAAGCTTCTGTGTCTGATTAATTTCAGTTAAGGTCATGTTCTCCATTTTCCCACAAATCACTCATTTATCCTTCTTAGTGGCAGAGCAGTACTCCATTGTGTATAAATACTACATTGTCTTTATCCATTCATCGGCTGATGGACATATACACTGCTCTCAAGTAACAGACTTGCGTATGCATTTAAAATGTAACTCAATCAAGAGGATATTATTCACCTCATGTATTTGTAGTTAAAATGTGCTGAGAAGTGAAGGTCATCATGACCTTTTCTACAGAAGACTAAGGTGAAACATTGCCTGACTCCATCTTCAGCACAGTGGGTATGGTCAGAAGGTGCCAGTGTGAGTCTGGAGAGCTCTTTCACACTGTGTGAGGAACAGGGAAAGGCTTTACCAACCTGTCATCTCTAATCATCCTCACTTTTATTTAAAGAATAATCTTTTATTCTGTTATTGAACTTTCTTAATTTGCAAAGCTTAAAACATTTCAAAATAAAAGTTTTCTAGATAGCTGGGCTTTGTGGTGCATGCCTGTAATCTGAGCACTCAGGAGGCTGAGGCAGGAGGATCACAAGTCTGAAGCCAGCCTGGGCTAGATTAGCAGACCTTGTCTCAAAAATAAACAAACCAAAACAACAACAAAATTTTCTGTTACTAGAGATCAGAATTTTGATAAATTTCCAGATCATTTTCCAAATTTCAGAGTGTTCTAAATTTGGAATGTTGGGCTGGGAGTTTGTCAGTGGTAGTTGTATAGCATGCTCCAAGCTTTTGCTCTGATCCCCAGCATCTCACACACACACACACACACACACACACACACACACACACAGTATTAGAACAAATGGAATTCTATCCTAAGCTATCCTGAAACTATAAAAAAAAAAAAATAAGCCAAGTATAGTAATAGATGGGAAGCACTGCAGGAAAAGAGAAATGTTTGTTGACCACTGCTGGGTTGTCTTAGGTATATTCCTGATAAGGTAAGTATGACAATTCCTGATATCTGGTGCCACATCCAAAACTACGGTAGAAAGAGGAACTGGGACTTGGACAGAAGAAAAATATTCGGGAAATGAAAGGTGTTAAGCCATCCTTTTAGGTCATAGGACAAACCGGTCCCCATTCATGTGTAAGATGTAGATGCTAACTTGGAGATATAAAGTATTTAAAAGAATGTTTCTGGTTGATTCTTTTCTAAGTTGTTACTGTGTTACAGTTAAAATGAAATATACCAAACACTTAAAATTGTTGATTTTACATTAGCTAATATATTCCTATTTTAACTTTTTAACAGTTATGGCTTCCTCCCAGTACATGAAAATAGGTAACGTACTCTTAGCCAAAATCAGGCCTTATAAACATTTCAGAGCATTTTGGAGCCCACATACATGCATTTCAAAAGGAGCAGAAAGCTGTAAAAATGTGTACTTTGTTAGAGTTCAGTGGCTGTAGTCAGTGTCTTTCGTGTGACACACTTAGCTGTGATGCTGTTTCCTGTGCTAGGCCAGAGTTCAGGGCCTACGTGTAGCTGGAAAATTGGGAGCAGGCAGTAGGAGTTTTAACTCCTGAGGCTAAGTAATTCATTCTCCAAAATACGCTTTAGCTTGCCTAAAAAATGGCATTCAAGAAAGAACATCATACAGTGCTAATCAGTCACGTGGAAGAGGTGAAGGGGCTAGAGCTGTTGGCTGTTTTCTTTCTTTTCCAAATGTGAATTTCCTTCCTTCCTTCCTCTCTTTCCTTCTTTTTCTTCTTTCATTCCCTCTCCTCTTCATTCCCTCTCTTCCTCCTTCCCTCTCCCCTACTATTGAGCTATACCACCTGCCCACCCCTAAAGTCAGTAATTTTTAACTTAAAATGAGTGTTCTGGTTTTGTCCATATTGTAATTAATAATTATTTTTTAAATTTTCATGCTCAGTTTAACTTTGCAGTATCTGTCAGCCATGTCCAAACACAAGGGAATCCCTAGCTTTACTTTGGCAGCAGATCCAGTGGGCGGACCGTGGTTCTCGTCTGTTCAGACGCATCAGACTTAAACTCTTTATCTGTGGAACAGTGTTCTGCAGAGTGGGGAGTGGGAGTATACAAGCCATTTGGGGGAATGCATAAAGAATATATGAGAAGTTTTATTTATTTTTAATCTCATTTTAGTATTTGAGTTTATGTTGTATAATTTATGCACATATACATATGTTGACAGAGATGCCTTTTGATAGTACGTGCTTGGAAAAAATTTTATTGGCGGGGAAATAAGATTTAAAATTTTCTGGAGGGCTGGGGATTTAGCTCAGCGGCAAAGCGCCTGCCTGGCAAGCGTGAGGTCGTGAGTTTGATTCTCGGTACCAGAGGAAAAAAAAAGTTCTCAAATTTTGTGGAGGCCACTATTTGTGCGAGGTCTGGCCTCTGTCAGTCCGACACAAGCGCGGTGTGCTTGGTAGCTCCTTCCAGCTCGCCCAGTACCGTCAGTGCTGTTTTCTGCTTCCTTTTCCAGCATCCACTAGAACACGAATGCAAAAGCAGAAAATGAATGATAGTACGGGTACCTCAAACAAGGAAGAAAAGTGAGGCTCTCGGGAACGTGGTGGCACCGTAGACATCTCTTGCTGCATTTTCTCTCATGGCTGTGACTGTATAATTCTCCCAGGCTCTATTGGCAGCCACATGTAATATCTCCAGCTCACTTTTGTAGAATAAAATGTGAGACGCAAGTTGGATATTTGTGTGGGTAATTCCTAAGCTACTTTCATTGTATATGTATGTTGTTATACAAGATTGAAAATCGTGTGTAATTCTGCCATTTAAAAAGTTGTACCAGATAATGTTTGCATTTCTAAACATTAAAGTTGCTGTGCTTTAGATAGTAAGGCTGTTTCTGGACTGGGAGTCCTGACCCATACCTACTTTGCCTTCCCTGTAGCATACATGTGATGTTTGCTCTTGTCTTTATTAATTTATAATGTATATTTTTTAATTTAACATGAATACCCTTAGAAACTGTGTTCTGTCTTCCAACTGCAGTTTGCCCATTCACTCAAATTATCCTGAACTCTTACCCTAAAACAGATGATTATTAGAAACTGTGAGAAAAATTACTAATTTTTACACATTAGATTTTATTTTAGTATTGGAATCTGATATACTCTGTGCTTGTTTTAAAAATTGCTTGTAAGCACAAGCAAAAAATAAAGTATAAACAATACTGTCATACTACTGACACAGTTTTCATACCTCAGAATTTGTAAGAACCTAGTCTTTCATCCAGCTCTGCTTTGAAATGAGGATTATTAACAGCACTCTTGGATTTTTGCCATTCAGATCTCTGAATCTGTAAGTACCATATAGTACTTGAAAAATACAAGTGTCTTGTGAAAAAGAGCTTCGCTGCAGAGGACCCTAATACAGTATACCCCAAGTGCACTTTCTGATGTTTTTGGGTCCTTAAGAATCAAGATACAAATTAATCTGCCTTCCTGAGTTTGGGAAGATCTGTTTTTTCTCTGGCATGGTACATGTCTTCCGTGTATCTTTTGAACTGGCAGTTGCCTATTTATCTTCTATTTTAAGTGGGTATGGTCTAACACTGGCAGATTCAAAGCCACCTTATTTTTAGTTCAACATTACAAGTAGGCAACAGTCTTTGTAAGTTAGGCATTAATGTTTTTGAGTTTGTGCAAAAGCTTCAACATACTCACATTAGAAAAAAAGGCACTTCCCCTCCCCACTGCACCTAAAGGTGTAAACTATCTTGTATGATTAACTTATTTAGAGAATGAATAATTTAAAATAGGTGGTATTTAAGGTAGTAGCAGCTAGCATTTAGGAAAATCACTTGGTCTAAATTCAGAGTTCTTTTTAAAAAGAAATCTGGTCTTGTTTGTTAGGAAAAAATATTGTTTGCTCAACTGAGTTTCAGACATGCTCTTTAGACAGTTGTCTTAATAACAAAAGCACCGGAAAACTTTACTCCATTTCTTCATTAATTTTTGCATGAATATCATACAAACCAGTTAGTTGTTAGGGCAAGGGCACACCATGCTTCTGGGTTTTTTGCTAATAAGTTCACATTAGAATTAGTGACAGTTTTAGGAACTTCAGATATCATGTATTCAGATTTCTTAAATAAGACTTCAAATAATGCTATACTGCTTTTTTGTACTGGTTAAAACTGTACATTTAAAATTGCTATGTTACTATTTTCTACAATTAATAGTTTGTCTATTTTAAAATAAATTAGTTAAGTTTTAATGGTCTGACGTGATTTTTGTATTCAGTGCAGTGATGTCCCCGCTGGAGGTGCACTCCTAGTGTCTCAGCCACTCACAGCCTGTCACGGTGACCTGACGCCAATCTCCCAGTTCACCTCATCAACTTGTACTTCTACTCAGAGCTCTCATAGCAGCTGAACTCTCAGTTTCTACCTACTCCAGTTTCTCAAAATGTAAACCAAAATCAAACAGAAGTAGCTGGTTTCTACCCTTGTCTTTCCCCATTTTACTAAATACTTATCAAGCCAAAAACTTAGGAGTCACCTATTAACTGTCAGGACCACTGCGTATTTATTCATTGTTAAAATCTGAAAATTAAGTGGGTCTCTGTGTTTGGTACTAGCAGTCATATAGCATCAAAATTATATCTAAATAGGCATACGACTTTCTATAGTCTTTATCCTATTTACTGAGAATATTCCTATTTCTCAGCAGAGATAACTAGTATGTTTGATTATTGGGAACTTACCAAGGCCTTACTTAGGTATTATGTCATGTGATATATGTGTCACATTGTCATTCTGAACCCATTATGAAATTCATCTGACACAAGTTTGCATTTATCTAATTTTTCAAATTATGCTGGGTAATGCATTTCTTTCCTTCTGCAATGGTATGTTTGTTCCTAAAGGAAGAAGCGCAGATCAGATAAAGCAGGAAAAGCAGGCGTATCTCAGTAGGATACATTCACTTTGGATGGGCGTCTCAGGTGTGGCATTCAAGTGAAGTCAAAGTCCAACAGCTTTAATGACACTGAACATACTTAGTGTGGGGGAAAAACATATCATTTCCGGCAATTAATTTAGCATTGCAATGATTTAAATTCTGACTGATAAAAGGAACAAGTCCAATTTAATGTATATTTCACTAGTTTTCTGGCACAAATGGTAGAAAGGAAGACGCTGCATTCTAGTTCTGTTATTATCTGGACTTCATAGAAACTTGCTTTTAGGATTATTCTGTTCCTCATTTTGGGGCCAACATGGTGTATACAACATGAATAGTCAACAAAATTTTCCTTTTACTAAATAGATTTTTACAGGACAACTTAAAACTTTCCTAAGAGGAAATACTGTATTAAATTTCTACCGTGAGTATAGCTTCTTAAATAGAAACACATTATCGTGCTGTAATTTGGATGGAAAACATTCCCTAAAGGCCCATTTGTTAAAGGCTGGGTCCCCAGAGTGACACTGTTGGGAAGGGGTGAAACCTTTAAGGGACGAGGTCTGGCATGGTGGCACGTGCGTGTACTCCTAGCTACTTAGGAGGCTGAGAGGAGGATCTCAAGTTCAAGCCTAGCCTGGTGACCTTGGCAAAGACCCTGTCTGAAAATAAAAGGGACTGGAGGTATAGCTCAGTGGTGGAGTGCCCCTGCGTTCAATCCCCAGTGGTGCAAAAATGGGGAGGGTGGCTACTGGGAGGTGCTTAGGTCACTGCAGGATGCCCTCGAAGGGGGTTTTGGGGGGACACCCTTGTCTGTTTCCTGGCCCTTGACATAAGTGGTTCCCCCCACCGTGCAGTCCTACCATGATGTGCTACTCTCGCCAGAGACCCAAAGCAATGGGGCGCCTTGATCTTGGACTCCAACTTCTAGAACCTTGGGCCAAAATGAACCTTTTAGTAAGGTGATTGCCTCAGACATCCTTAAAGCAATGGTAACTGTCAGTGTGTAAAGGAGATTAAAACAAGCTTTTTAAATATGAAGTTGAGATATTCATCTATTTTTATAAATCCTTTTTGTGTCCATGTTTGAGGGCTATGATTTATAATATGTGACTGATATTTTAATTTGAAGCATTAAATTTATTATATAGGCCAAGATCAGTTACTTCCTAAATAAAAAAAAATTATTTTTAGCTCAAGTATCCTGTAAAACCTGTTTTTTTTTTTGTTTTTGTAAAGACCAAATTTTACATAATACATGATTTTTTTCTTCTTTTCACAGTTCTCTTAAACCACTTGTGAAAATGGCAATGGGAAGGCTTAAGACAGGCAAAGTTATATCGTTTGTAGTTGTTTCTTTTCAGTATTGATGATGAGTTCTGCCTCTAAACTGTACATGTTATGGTCCAAAGTAATTTACAGTAGTGCTGAGCTAAAGAACATATTCCACATTTTTATGCACTTATCAGTCCAATAATTTAAATACAGGTTGACCAAAAATTGCCTATTTCTTCATAAATTCTGTAAGATAATGTAACAAAATATAAAGTGACAATCTTATCAAATTTATTTCAATACAAGAATCAACTGGTTTAAAGGACACCTGCCTGAGCGATGCTCAGGATAGTGTAAACAGATACGCCGCCTGAGTGACAGGGTAAACGGTTAAGTGGTTAACCTTTGCTTTTTAAAGTGAATTAAATGCACTGTCATAAACCTGTGAGGGCACTAGTTCATTCATGTACAATTTTAATCTATGTGTTTCTGTGTGTCTTAAGGTAAATTATATTGGAAACATTGAAACATAGAACTTCCTTGTGGAATCAGGAAACAAAATTTAAGGCTGGAAAAACTTAAGAAACTTGTACAAAAGAAAGGACCCATTTATTTCTGATGCAGTGTACTATGAAAATGTACCTTTCTCTCACAATCACTAACAAATAGGATTTTCTGAGGCTTTCTAAATACTCATCTGTCAAAGGAAAGGAAGAAAATTTTTCCTTCCCATAGTTGTGTCTAGTATGCCTATCCCCGGAGACCAGCGAGAGGGAACTTTTTTTTCAGACAGATGTGTCCACGTCTAGGCCTCATCTGTCATCTCTCAAACTGGGCTAAAAATACCTCTTCCTTACTGCATGGAGTGAAGTTTTAAGAGGAAAACCACTGATTCTCACCTTTGGGTGAATATCAGAATTACTTGTGGAGCTTCTGAAGTACTGTGTACTGAATTAGAACCCTCAAATCTATATTCTGTAGGTCACACAGGTCATCATGTTGTGCACAGAGATAAGAAACACTGAGGCGGACACAGTGCACCTCTTCACATCACAAAGCTTCCAGAGAAGATATGGAAACGAATCCAGAGCAGTAACTTCTATTCTGGCAGTATGGTACTTGACCCATTGTGGAGTTGGTAATGAGCAGTCCATGTGTTATCCCTAAATATACTTCTCTGTTCCCCGTTGAATTCTAATTGTTATAGGAAGTGAGTTTGTAAATGAAAATCACACTCGCTAAGGTGCTTCAGAAAGCCCTGTTGGAATGGCAATACGAAGACAAGATTGTCTGAGACACTGCAGCCTTAGGAGCTGAGACATTATGACTAGTGTAGGAGGGTAAGGAAACAACAATAAGAAAGTAAAGATCATGGTTGTCTTAACTGCCTTCCCATGTGTGAAGGCTTCTCTATTGGATAAAATAAAAGATCTGTCCCTAAAAATGAAAACAAACGGGATATGCTAACTTTTAAAATAACAAATGACTAAGACTATATAATTCCAAAAATAGGACTCTGATTTGGAACTAGAGGCATCCAGACTCCCGTGCCTCTTATTAGATAAGTCTGAAAAAATATAGTAATTGGTCAAAAATAAAGATTCAAAAATAATCTCAGACTGGGAGAAAATCTTTGCAAAAGACATCTGATAGACGACTGTCATCCAAAACAACTCAAATAGCAGGAAAACAACTCAAAAAATGGGGCAAAAACCTAAACAGGCATATGGAAGATACACAAATGGCAAGTGAGCATATGAAAAGATTTCCCACATCCTGCGTCATCAGGGAAATATAAATTAAAACAACACAGATAACACTACAATATTAGGACGGCCAGGACTGGGGATACTAACCCCATCAGATGCTGACAGGGATGTAGCGGAAGGAACTTCTTCACTCCTACTGGGATGCAAAGTGGTGTGGGAACTTCCGAAAACAGCTTGGCAGTGTCTTAAAGAACTAAATACCCTCTTACCAAGTGAACAGCAGTCATACTTCTTGGCATTTGCCCAAAGAAGTTGAAAACTTGTGTCTACACAAAGTTGTACCTGGTTGGTTGGTATAGAAGCCCTTCCCAGTCGGAAGTTTGTATTTGTAATCCCAAAGGAAAGTTATTGGAATGTTAGCAAATTAATTCCAATCTGCCACTTCCAGTGCAACCCGTGGCATAAAGATACAATTATATATCCAAGCTGATAGGGAGCTAAGGGGTCCTAAGTCCAGCCAGGATGATGACTGATCAGAACAAAGGCCATGACCCAGGGGTGAACCCAGGTTATATTAATTCTGTAAAGAGAGGAGTGGCTTGGGGATGAATGACTGTGAGAGCGGCAGGAAGAAACTGAGTGTTATGAGCTGGCCTGAAATCACCTCTGCAATGTGCAGAGAGAGACGCAGAAAGAGTAACCTGCATAACACAGTTCGAGGCAGTATCTAATGTTTTGGGATCCAGTGCTTCAGCTCCGATGTGTAACTTTTTGTGTCCTGAGATGTCATGGCCTCCTTCTCAAGGCTCAATCCCAGCAGACAGCATGGAGCGTGACTCTCCCTCTGCCCGGCTCACACGTGCTTCTTGGGAGCTACAGGGTGGGGCAACACTGACCTGTCGCCTTGCTTCAAAGATTGCACAACAGCACCTAGCTACACGTATTTGCATTGTTTAAAGCCAACTAGGGGAAAAGGAAAAGTCCTGGCTAGCTTTGCACACATCAATACATGGAAATAGGGCCAGGTGTAGCCAAAATGGAGAGAACTGCTCTTTCAAGGAGAGTTGTCCAGGTGGTCCTCCACAGGTTGTAGCTTTATTCATAATGGCCCAAACTTGGAAGCAACCAAGTTGTTCCTCAATAAATGACTGAATAAACTGTGGTACATCCACACTGTGGAATATTACTCAGTACTAAAAAAAAAAAAAATCAAGTCATAAAAAAGTATGAGGGGACCTGAAATGCATAGCCCTAAATAAAAAAAAAATAATATGAAAGGCTACCATACGGTTAGAGACCAACGTCATTACCTTCAGGAAACTATGGAGACAGTGAAAGTGTCAGCAGCTGCCAGGGGAGGGATAAACGAGTGGCGCATATGGGAAGAAGAATCACACACCCAGCTGAAATTATAGCATGTTACTAAATAGTTTCAGGGCAGTGAAACTATTCTGTGTGACACTTTAATGCTAGATATATGCCATTCTACATTTATCCAAACCCAAAGAATGTACAACACCAGCAGTGAACCCTCACGTAAATTATGGACTTCAAGTGATGACAAGATGCCAGTGCAGGCTGACAGTTATAACAAATACATCTCTCCGCTGAAGGGTGCTGACTGAGAGAAGATGGCATATGTAGGGGCAGGGAAAAAATAGGAAATCTCTGCTCTCAGTTTTGTTGTGAACTTAAAACTGCTCATAAAATGTCTTAAAAAGGCAATAATATGAATAGTGATGGGGTTTTTTTATAAACCATTTATGTTTTAGTAGGCTTTCTTATGAAACTATCTGAATAACAGCTTTAAAAAACAAATGAACAGTTTACTAAATGGATTTATATATATCTAAGAGACACGAAGTCTCATGTAACTTTGCTACTTTTTAGGAATTAAAAACCACATTTGTTGTATTATGTGCAAATGAGCGATTTTATTATCAAATAGTTCAGCATCAGAACAAGATTTCTAGTTCTAAAGGTCTTCCTTGTGTAGCATCATACCGTGAAACAGTCTCAGAAGAATCGGACACTACTTCCCATTCCAGTTTCTCCTTTACAACTGGGTAATTTGTTTTGATCTAAAAAGTATAAATATCTCTGTCTTGTTAATGCTGTCCATGAAATACATTACTTCCTTTTCATCTAGTACAGTTATACTAGTGCCAGGTTAAGTGACCTGTTTTATAGTGACATAAAAGTCAACTACAAGAAAAACAATCATCATTACTTACAGAAGCAAATTCCCCTTAACACAAAGAAAAGAAATGTATACAATTATGTAAGGCAGATGAGTCCAGAAATCACCTTCATTCAGAGATAATATTTCAGTAATCCCATATGAGAAATGAATGACTCAGAATAAATAGAAAATTAAAATTAGCCCTTGAGCCTTGGACAATTTGTGAATTCTAATTAATCCTCTAAGTCAGTGGTGTCGAATGTACAGCACACAAGTCATAGTGGGCTGTTTGTTACTGCTGAAAGCTCTAACAGTTTCACCATCACCCGCACTAAATTAGTCACTATTTCTCATATCAGAAGAACATGAACCTCAGTAATTATAGGCTATTTTCAATTTGTGTAACTTATTCCTTCATCATCCAGTATTTCACAAATAAATCTGTTCTCAAGCCACCCTTAATATTTACAGTAAATTACTTGAGTGCCTACTATATGCAAGGCACTATGCTGGATCCGAAAATGTGGTAGTGACAGCAGTGCTTGTCTAGCTTTATAGTGTCAGCCAGCTGAATAATGGAACATTTGGCCAGAAGGGCGCCGACCAAAATACCAATATACCAAAGCTATCCAAGTTAAGTGACTCAAAAGAAAAAATGGCAAATATGACAAGACATTTGCATATTTTTCCTTACCCACAGCCACATCTGATCATTCAATGTTTTCTATGTAAACTCTGCATCTCAGCAGATGGAGACCACCTATCATCCTCTCGACATAACACAAATATTCAGCCAAATGTAGCTCATCATAAATATTGCTAAGGAGAATTACTCATCACCAGCTTTTCTGCAGGGAAAAAAGAAAGTCACAAAATCTCTATCCTTTTGTGAGGTGAGGATCAATTTTTAAATGCTCCAACTCTGCTGGCTTTGCTGATGAAGTTCTTCAGGAGATCATGGTCCATTTCTGCAAAGCCTGAAGTTTGTGTTACAACAGTCAGATGGTTTATGCAAAATCTGAAGCAGAATTCTTCTAAATCCTAAGAAAACAACAATGGTTTAATAAATTTGTATTTTCCAGTGCAGTGTTCCAGAACATGAGATTTCTTCGAATAAGAAAAAAGGATTTCGTAGCCAGTTTGGGGAAAGGTTGGTACAGCAATATGTAAAGAATAATTATAAAAAACTATACCTCCAATAAACCTCAGACCCTGGCTGGGCTGTCATCTGCACCAGCACAAGGTACTGCACGGTGGAGGTCAATTTTCTTTTCTATGTTGCTGAAACTATACAAACTAAAGCCCAAAGTAATTTCCAAGCAATTATATATAGACATTGCACACCACAATTCTTTAAACCCATATAAATGATAGCAAATGTTGAAGACAAAAAAATAAAATAAGCAATAAAAAGAAAAATTAGCTATTCTGATAGCCATGCCAATGTTTACGCAAACTTGCAGTACATTTCCCTTTAAGAAAAGAAACACACTGTGAGGAAAATGTAACCCCTGAACACAGCCAAGCAGGCTGCTAAGGTCAGACTGGCAGTGTGACATACTTCAGTCCCAGGTAAGCTCTCAGGGATTAAAAAAAAAGGAAAATTCACACACCCAGCTGAAATTATAGCATGTTACTAAAAATGTGCTTCATTGATATATACTAAATTATCAGAATACCCATTTAAAATCATGTACTCTTGCTTAAATTTTAGAAATGACCTTTTTGCCTATAGCACATGAAAGTAAAATAAAATAGAGATACATCTTTTTGTCTGAATTCTGCAAAGTGGAAAAACCGATACCCAAAACACACACTTTACAATGGATGGAGGTAGGTGGCTTGACATTTTGCAGTCTTAGAGATCTGGACAGTGTCAGTAAAATGGCTAATTACCGGGTGAACAAAAGGATCTTGAAAAGTCGTCATTTGGGTCCACCCTCTTTTACTTTCTAAAATGGGAATTTCCTGTAATTATTATAAGGACAGGACTTGGACAGAATCCCTGCGATTCTAATAATTTGATAAATTGCCCTTAGGTGGTATTGCTCACAAGGGAATTTCTGTCCGTATAAAACAAGACCGCCTCCCATTATTTTTGGGTAAAAGAATATTGTCTATATGCTGCTAAAAGTAGCAGCATGGCTTCATCTTTAAATAGGGCCCTTAATTTTACTGAGTCATCCTACCACATTTCCCTAGTTTATTCATTCTCCTATACAACTGTCATATAGTCAGACCCACACTATTGGGCCTTAAGGCCCAGTACCTCCTCCTAGTCCTCAAGCTATGCTAACATGACTAGCACTCAAGAGGATCCATGGGCTCTAAGGATCGTCCTCACCTCGCTAGATGCCTGTGAACTCTCTCCTTTCCTGATGCCCAGGGTGAATGGTCCATGGCTGACACAAAGGCAGACTCCTGCTCTGTCACTAGATTCTGTGAAATCCTGCTCAGGGACACTACTCGAGTAACTGTCCCCTCTTCTCCACTTGTTGTTCTTGACTGGACTGTCCCTATTATTATGCAAACAAGCTTCAATTTCTTTCATTTTACAGAAATTAAACATGTGTTATACTTCAATTGCCCCTGCAACCTATTTCTCTTTATAAGTGAACTTACCGGAAAAAGCTGTCTGTGTTCCCAATCTCTAAAGCCTCCGCTTTTATTACCCAATGAGGCTTCAGCCCACCAGTGCTTGCCACGGTGCCCCATGGGGTTCTCCTCACTCTCAGTGTTCGTGCTGACGCACCGACAGCATCTGATGTCGGGGAGGATGTGCTCCTTATCGATACTTGCTCTTTTCTAGCTTCCAGGACACCGTCTCCTAGTTTCTCTCTTCCCCACTGCTCGATACTTTTTAGTCTCCTTTGCTGGTGTCCCCTGAGCTCCTCGACCTCTACATACTGAGTGCCAAGGACTTGATCTTCAAATTCATGTCTCATAGCACAGCCCCACAGCTTTCAGTACATGTCCCTCTGAATTCCAGACTGGTTTGTGCAGCCTGCTTATTAGATATGTCCATGTGGATGTTTGAGACATCATGTACTTAACACACTCAAAACCAAATTCCTGCTATTTCTCCTCAAATGCTGGTCCTACTCGTCTTCCCTATCTCATTAAAACAGTTTCATGTTTTCAGTTCCTCAGGACAAAAACCTTGACGTTATCTGAAGTTTTCTTGTCTCCTCAACCCCACCTCTAATCAATCAGGAAATCTTACTGTCTCTATCTTAAAAATATACTCACAGTCCAAACCTTTTTCAGCACTTCACAGCTGGAGACTTGGAGCAATCCACCCCCACTACTTACTGGAATGCACAGCCCCCCTCAATGATCACCCTCTGGGCCCCATATGCTTGTATAGCCAGATCTTTTTCTTAATGTTGAGTGAAAAAAATCTTTCAACTTCAAATATTTAGAAATACATACATAACATGACCGGGGGGGAGGGGCGTGCCGTAGGAAAGTTTTAATGTTTTCTGGTTGATGAGTCATTTCCTTCCTGATACTTTATTTTTCTTCCTCATACTTCTTGTATTTTCTACATCTTCTTAATATGTATAATATTATTTACACAAGTGGGAAAAAGATAACCTTTTTTTTCCACTAAAATTTCCCTGGTTTTGGCCAGATGAAAGGATATCCTTATACCAAAAGGAAACTGATTTGGAGACGTTACTGACCGTTTCCTAACTTTATCTCTAAAGTAGATTTTCTTTATTATCACAACAACGCCTCATTAAACAGAAAAACAAAGCAGAAAATAAAAATCATCCATAATCCCACTATCCAATGATAACCATTGCCCAGATTCTTTAATCTTTTCTCTATAGATAATAAATTTTAGTCTTTTAAAAAAATATAGTCACAGTTTTTTGCTTAATGATATTTCTGAATAGCTGTATAATTTAATATTCCTAACCTTTTATAAATAATTTTATAATTTTTTACTATTAACACTGTTTTTCATTCTTTTCCAAAATTATTAACTGCTGAAATAAATATCCATGAAGCTGAATCTTCATCCAAAACCATGATTGACTTAAGTCTCTGTAAGTGAATTCCTTTGTTAAATAATTGCATCCTTGAGGTTTTACCAAATTATTTATATATACATATGCACATATACACATAAAAAATAACAATTTGATCCCAGAATGCATGAATGTGTACTCATTATTCAGAGCCTATATTATTTTTAAAAATATATTCTCCAGTTTGAAAGCTGAAAAATTATAGTTTTATTCATTTGTTTTTTATTTTTTCCATTACTCATATTTTTTCTTTTTTATTATGGAAAACTTGTTCTATTATAAATATGTTGTAAAAAATGTTTTCAGTGCACAAAAGTTTACCTTTTGAAATCAGATCGATCCATCCTTTCCACTATATAGTCTCTGCCTCTGATGTCTACTTTAATACCATACAGTCTCTCACATTTTATCTAAATTTGTTGGTTTTCTACATTCAACGTCAATCCGCCTGGAGCTTATTTTGGTTGAAGATATTACGCAGCAGACGCCTGCTGTTCCAGAAAGTGGGCTGCTCTGAAGGGTGTTTTCTTACCTGAGCATCGTATTTCACAGCGGCTGAGAGCAGAGAAATGGCATTCTCTTCGCAGATTCCTTGCTTGATGGTTTGTTGGCAGAGCTTTTTCAAGCGATTTTCTCTATAAAATGTAGCCAAATCGAGCAATCCTGAAGGAAAGAAGTGCTTACTGGGGGCACTTCAAGCACCCTGATTTAAACTCACTCAACATTCAAAGATGATTCTGACATTCTTTTGAACGTCATGCTCAGTGAAGAGCTGTGTAAGCAGACGTGTGCTGACTTGGCTCTCTAAGAAGGTAGCCAAAATGAACAAATACACAAATAACTGTTGAAAAACAGGAGCAAAGTTAAAATGGCTTAATAATTTTTCCTAGGAAGAAAAAGAAGTGTTTTTAAATATTGTTATCTCCTGTACTAGTGGGATCTTCTTTTCCAGATCATTCCCATCAACACACATGGTGGGACAAAGGCCATTTTTATAAAGAAAAAAAGGGCTGGGCAGGTGGCTGAGCGGTAGTGTGCTTAGCATGTACAAACCTCAGCATCAGGTAGAGACAGAAAAGAAACGCCTTTCACAGGCAAGCCTGCATCCTATTGCCCACCCCCCCGTTCCTCTTTATAGCAACATTCCTACAGCAAGCTGTCTATATTTGCTCTTTGTTTTTTTATTTGCTCTTTTCTTATTCCCAGTCCTTCCTCTGCTATCTCAAGCAGAATCTCAGCCCCACCACTCACTGAAGTCATGGTCGTGAATAGCTTTGGCTTCCACAGTGCCAAATCCAAGGTCTAGTCTCTAGTTCTAATATCCACACAGACCTGGGTGTGGTTAATGTGCTCTCCTTGGAAGACTTAATTACTTGCTTGTTTTTCTTCTCCCTAATTAGTGTGTCTGAGTTCTCCTGGCTGAGCCATTTTTCTTGGTAGAGGAATCCATGCGAGGTCAACTGTCAATCTTGGGTTGCCACCTGATCAAAAATTTAGCTGACTTCTCCTATAGCATATTATCACATTCACCGCAAACTAATACTTCATGCAAAGGTGCTTCCAGGATAGCTGAAGGAAAGACAGCTAGGATTTCATCAACTTTGATGTATTCATGGCTTTTCTAAGTTTTATACAACTGGTGGACTCTGAGCGAAAACTTGCTTCCACTGTGACGTGGTAAGTATTATCAAAGATAAGAAGGCCTATTGCTCGGAGAAGGACCGTGAAATTTTCTGGAATGCTGAGTCTTGTGAAAGACTGAACTGTTTTGGATCAGTTCTCAAAACGCCAAATTCACAGTAGTAACCCCCAATGCTTCCCAAGTTTCTGACGCACATTACACAGCAGCCCTGCGTGAAGGCCCCAGCCCTGAGCCGCTCCCCCGAGCCTGGGCTCTGCACCTCCTCCAGGCCCAGCCCCATCACAGGGGGCTAACAAGCCCCAGGCCTACTTCTGCATCGTACTTTGGGTTCCTGGGAACCTGAGGTCCTCACAGTGAGGAAACCAAGATGTAGATGTTTCTTTTGCCGCAAGAGGTGAGTGGAACTTAAACGTCAGGCTGAAGTGTCTGCACACCCCTTGGGATGCAGGATATAGAGTGAAGTTGGAAGCCAGAGTTCTGTCCTGTACCACTGTGTTCTAGCACAGAAATGAATCCCAGATCTAGCCTGTCAGGTCTTAATGAAGGTGTATTTTTAAGGAAGAAGGACTAGACATATTTTATCTTAAGATTTGAACATACATGTGGTTTGATCAAAAGACATGGCAAATGTTTAAACTTTAAGAAATTTGTTAGGTAAAAGATACATCACCATTAATCCCCCCACCCCCATCCCATTTCAAACACACATCACATCATTTCTGCTACTTTTTGAAGCAGTTCTGCAAGTCTTCTTTCATGAGCGTCTTTACAAGATGTGACGAGAAATACAGTACATACTGTTGCCAAGTTCTGCCCATCAGAAAGACACACTCATAAAAACATGGCGTGTCCTTACCCATTTTATTCAGTGGATCTAGCACCATACAGCTTCTCACTGTTCCCTCAAGTTAAAATGACCATGAAAGGTAAATGTTTTTTAGTAGACTCAGCTCATCAAGGCAGCCACAAGAGTGCAACTAAAGATGTTCATAAAAAAGGACTTCCAGAGCTGACTCAGAAAGGGACAGGAACGATGGGCTAAGCATCTTTGAGATAAGGGGGAACAGTGTGAGGGGGATTAATGACAATATGTCTTTTGCTGTAATAAAAAAATTTAATTTAAACTTTCACTGTATTTTTTAATCCCACCATGTAACTTTAAATTTTTAGACATATGGTATACAGTCCTCCACTTGGGCTCTTGCCCAGGGTCCGACAAATGCTGGAGTGGGCCTACTACACAAAACCAGAAATAGTCACTTGGGTGTTTATTCAGCAGCTCAAACTTCTTACAGCTGGTACCTGACTATTCAAAGTCAAGAGCAAAACCTGGTGCTGTCCACCTGCCTCATCTTTACCAGTGGCGCATGAACCCAGCTACTCAAGCCGAACACCTCAGCGAAATCTTCCTCCCTCCCTTCACACCTCAAGTCCCATCCATCACCTGATCCCACCACCTGCATCTTCAAAGTATATCCAGAATCTGATCTCCTTTTAACACCTCCACCGCTACACCCTCTCGCCCTGGATACCATCATCTTGTGCCTGAACCATTTTACAATTACTGACTTTTTTTTTGTTATTTTGTTTTTGTTTTTCTTCCAGTACCAGGAATCAAACTCACGACCTTGCACTTGCCAGGCAGGCACTGTGCCACTGAGCTAAATTCTGAGCCCCTAATTACTGATATTTTTTAAAAAATCTTATCTCTGCCATACCAGAAGCAGTGAGCTGACTCTTCCCAATGCACACGTGCACACACACACATGCGCGCACACACAGTTTGGGTCCTGATTACATACACAGCAACTTTCTTTTACTCTACAGAAACCGCCGTGTCAACAGCTTGACATTTTGCCAATTACTTAGTAAAGTTTCTGGTGTTTACCTACTGCCTCCTCAGGAGAAAGACTGATGCTGTCTGTGTACAGGTATTCCAGGAAGGCTCGGTATACAGGATATGAAAATTCACTCATTTCTACAATATCATCCTCATTGTCTTCCAACGAAGAACGAAAATGCTCACACCTGAAGGGAGAAAGAAGCAAGTTGGGTACCGAACTCTGGGCCAAAGTCGGTCTCCCACAGGAGCACACCCTTTTCTCAGAGTCAGACGCCTCCACATCTGCTATAGTTTGGATGCTAAATACCCTCAAAAGGCCACGTGTTACAGGCTTGGTCTCCAGGTGACACTGTTGGGAAGCAGTGGAACCTTTAGGAGGTTGGTTCTAGTAGAAGGGCCTTGGGTCATCGGAGTGAGGGCCTCAAAAGGCACTGTGGGTAGGACCTGTCCCCTTCCCTCCTCCACTGCTCCCTCAGAAGGTAAGCAGTTTTGCTCCGTCATGCACTCCCATTCTGACATGCTACTTCTCCACAGGCCCAAAACAACAGAACCAACCAATCACAGGCTGGAACCTCAAAAACCATGAGCCAAAATAAACCATTTAAACTGGAAGTATAACTTGCTAGTAGACCAAATAAATAAGCCTTTCTTTTGTAAGTTAATTATCTCAGGTGTTCTGTTACAGTGACAGAAAACTGACCAACACAACAGCCTTGTTGGCTCCTTGCATTCTTTGTTGGCTGAAGTTTTCAATCATTTATTCAACGAGGCTGCAAATCTAAGTTGCTGCTGCGCCAGCCTGCGCAGCTGCCTCTATAGCTAAGCTGACAGTGACAGGGAAGGGGGCCCTGCTATCCTTCTCACGTTATATCCGCTGATCAGCATTTATGAAATCAGTGAGGTTTATTTTTATAATTCTGAGTCATTTTGTCTCTTCAATTATGGGCTGAATTTTATCTCCTAAAAATATGTTGGAGTCCTAACCTCCAATGTTTAAGAATTCGGCCTTATTTGAAGACAGGGTCTTTAAATAGGTAATCAAATGAAGATGAAGTCATTATAGTCAGTCCTAATCCAGTATGACTGGTGTCCTTACGCTGAGAGATCTGGACTTAGACACGCACAGGGGAGCATCATGTGATGAGTTAATAAGCAGCCACAGGCCTAGAAATGCCAGACTGTCACAAATCACTGAAAGCCCAGAGAGTGCCACAGAACAGTTCTCCCAGCTTTCAGAAGAAAATCATTCTGCTAGCACTTGATCTTAGACTTCTGGCCTCCAGAACTGTGAAAGAATAAATGTCTGTTGTTTAAGCCACACGTGTAGTACTTTGTTTCAGCAAACGAATCTGCCCTCTTCCTTCATGAGGGTTTACGTACTACAGTGGGTGAACAGATGCAACAGCCTGACCTTACCAAAAGGGAACCTGAGGCTGAAATAATGTATTAGATTTGTGATTCACTGAAATCAATTCAAATATCTGTTTCACAATATAATGAATTTCAACATCATTATGCTGAGAGAAAAAAGCCAGGCACATATTGTATCATTTCATTTATACAAACTTCTAGAAAATACTAATCAACCTATAGGGATAAAAGGTTATTCACTGGCTGCACAGGTTGGGGATAAGGGAGTTTTGATGGGCAACGGAAATGTTTAGGTCAGTGCTTTCGCAGGTGTGTACATACGACAAAACTTAGCAAGCAGCACCCTTGAAACGGATGTAACTCACTGCTCATAAAATAAACATCAACAAGTTTAATATAAAAAAATCTTTGTGTAGCCTCACCAACACCTTGTTGGTCTTGAAAAGCTTGATTTTCTTTTATAAGGTTAACTATCCCACAGCTGACTGAGGAGAGTACTTACCATGGGCTGAGATTATTTATCAGGCAGGGGAGGTTATTCGTGTCAAAGCACACAGCACAGCACCATGGGAGTGTGGTTGGTCACTGGTTGGTCTCCAGTGTCATAGTGGACAGAGTAATTTTTAAGCCCTCTAAAGAATGCCAACAGGGTTGATTCCTTGGGCACACACCCACACCTGCTGCACCTGATCTGCATGGTTTCTTGTTGCCCTATCATACGTTTCCTCCTGCCGCGCTGGGCACTCAGAAGGGCAAAAGGCACCTTGCATTTTTTCTTAAGTACCAATGTGCCTAGCACAGTTCCTCAGATGCTATGGAAATAAACAGATCCATCTTAATTCCCCAAATAAATGACTCCTTACCTAATTTTGAGAAGGACTTTATGCGCATAAATATATTTTCCATCAACCAGAAACTTCAGGTCTGCAGTGTCCGGGTTGTCAAATTCCCTCTTCAGCGACTCAGCCACAGTGAGGTGGTCATCAGGTTCTAAGAGAGAAGCAACACAAGCGCTAGCCTCAGCTGATGACCAGGAAGGCCCAAATGGGCCTGGTCTTTGCTGCTCTGCAAATGCCAATCCCTAAAATTACTGACCAACTGAGCAATGCTTTTGTTTTCCTAAATTTGAATTCACATTTCTGAAATCCATAAATGATAAAAACCTCACACGTCTATCTATAAATTTGGCCAAGGAACAAAAAATGTCCCCAGTTACCTCACTAATTTAAAATTAAATCTTAAAATGCTTAGTAAATATACCAGCTAAAATTTTTTTAAAAATGTAGCTTCCCAGTAAAATTAAAAACCAGTCAAAACAGCCAAGCATGGTGTCACACGCTTGTCATCTCAGCACTTCGTGCCTCAGCAGAAGTATCGAGTTCAAGGCCAGCCTGGCCTATATGGAGAGATCCTATCCCAGAAAAAGAAGAAAAAAGAAGAAAAAGAAAGAAAACCAAGCTGTAGGCAAATAGAAGTACTTTTAATCTAGTAGTGATGCTTTTAAGAAATTTAATCAACCTAGTTCCTTTTCACAGGGGCCCATCACTAGGAAATAAATCATGGTTTTGTACATAATGAAGTCACAATACAAAAACAAAAACACCAAGCTTTCTTCCTAGTTTTCAGGTTGTGCAGCAAATGAACGGGGACCGGCTCACCCACAGAGAGGAAGCGCCAGGTGACAGCAGGCGTGGCAAAGCAGGCAAACACGTCGTCGGTGCAGGAGAAGTGGGTGAGGTGAGGGAGGACCACCGACTGGCCCCGGCACTGGCCCCACATGTACACGTGCCCGCCCTGGGTCTTGGCGGCGGACGTGTGTGCGGAGTGACAGGCTGCGATCTCTATGATCCTAAATTCACAAGCAAAGAGCACAGAAACACAGTGAGCAGTAGAAGAAATGAAGTGGTTTCTTCTTCCCCTAGGTTTAACTGATTTGGGCCACCTCCAAACAGACAACAAAGCAGCACTTAAACACCTCAAGTCCTAAATTTCAGGTGCCAAACATTACAGCCATACTTCAATGGCACCTGTAATTCACTATGCCACTTTAGTCAGTAGGCCTATAAAAATATGCACCATTTTGTTTTTAAATTCAAATACAACCTGGTCATGTACACATCAAAAAGAAAAAGAGATGACTTAACGTTTTTGTTCTTAAAACATTACTGATGTAGGTAATAAAGATGTGGACCATCTTGATCCAGGATCAATAACTCTTTTAATCACATCTTCATCTCTTTGGGCCGGGAATATAGCTCAGCAGAGAAGTGTGTGCTTAATTAGCATGTCTGAAGCCCTGGGTTCCATTCCTGTCATCAAATAAAAACTCTTTACCTATGTTAGGCCACTAACAGCCTACCTATCTGGCCACTAACAGCCTCCCAAGTATCCTAGCCTCAGACTTGCTCTTCAGACCAAAACTGCACCACGCTGCAGTCAGCAGTCTTCCTGAGACACCACTGTCACCAGGACTTTCAAACCTGCAGTGGCTTCCCACTGGACAAAGTCCGAACAGTGTCTGCAGGCCTTCCAGAACTTGGCTGCCTTTCAGTGCCACCTTCCCGAGTCACATGTCCGTTTGGACAAACAGATGCACTCGCTGGCCCCTGTGTCTCCTGGTTACAGAGCTTACGTGGGAATGTGTCCTCTCTCTCTGCCTTACAAACCTTAACCACTTGTTAAGGCTCAAGGTAAGAGGCCTCTCACCCACCCCTCATTCACACGCCCCAGCTAGCCCATGACAGCTTTTACAGTGAGGTTCAACTAGTCAGTAAGATTACAAGCTGCTCGCAGGCCAGCTCATGAGCTTATTTTTTGCTATCTGAGCACACAACAGTGTCTTCCTAAATGCAATTTGTGAGTCATTTCATTGGCTAACTGGATTCCACAACGCAGAGCACCTGACGGGTGCGCAAGACTCCACAGCTGAAGGCTGGCAGTGTCTATCCTCCACCGCCTCCATAACTCTGGTGCTTCCCAACCAAGGGGGAAGATGCTCAGCATATGACATAACTCGCACGGGCTGGTACAGAATTGTTTTCATGCGTGGTCCATGTGATTTCACTGGCTTATGAGATGACGGCTTTCAGCTTTTGAAAACCCATGAATACTAGAGGAAAAGAAGCTACGTTGAACCACGGCAGAGTCTTGTGTCTGGAGTCACACAGTGCTAGGTTTAAATCCCAGCCACACTCTAGCCACAGGGCTGTGTGAATGTGACTTAGCCTCTGGGAACCTCAGTTTCAATGTTATCTCAGTTTAGGACTCAGAGAATTAAATGATAGAATGCTAAGTGCCAAGTACAACGATATATGAATAAAACCATCACAACTGAGGTTTCTTAGTATTCTTATTACTATCAAAGGATAAAATTAAAACAGTTTAGTTTAATGACTAATTGGCTTTATTCTTTTCAGTTCTACAACTGGGTAACATTTCATTCCACAAAATAGAGTAAGTGTACACTTATTCTATTTTCACAGCCAACGGGCTGAGAAAAGAAGGGCAGAAGAAAGCAGACATAAAAAACAAAAACATCAAGTGGACTGGTCATTTCAAAGTTACTTTCCTCATAAGGAAGGGGCGGGGAGACAAAATAGTGAGAAAATAACTGCTGGCTCAGCATTGGGTTATGTCAGTTAACCTCTTCTGCGTGAAGATTAAAGACAGGGAGCTACATTATCATGCTGATTGAAACTGGGCAGTTGAGACCATTTGTCTGTTATCACTCTGATCTTGATTTCTTGGGTCAGATTAGTAAAGTGATATTTAGCATGTGTTATGGTTTGTGTCTGCATGTCCCCTCGAAGCCTCATACAGTCATAGGGCAGGCTTCTACAGTTTATGATTGATCCATGGTCCAACGCTGGGATTATGGGTGTGCGCGCTACCCCCACCCTGAGGCGGGTAGTTTACATATAAGGGAGGGAAAGAGGCTTGCTCTCTGCTGCTCCTCCCTTTTTGTTTTTGTTGCTTTTGCTATCCCCGACCCCCATGAACTGTAGCCCTCTGTTATGTGCCACTCTGCCTTGGAGCCAGCCGAGTATGGACTGAAACCTCCACAAACTGTGAGCTAAATAAACCTTTCCTTCCTTAATTTTGGGTGTCGGGTATTTTGTCCCAGTAATGACAGAAAAGTAACCAAAGCAGCATGAGTCATTCCACTCTGACTTTTTAGCTTCATTTCTTGGGGCCCAGTGCAGCTTAGGCCAAAATAATGGCCTCCTATAATTTTTGTTTAATTCTACTACTAAACATTTTTAGTGACAACACTTCCATTATGGTAGAGACTACATTTTGAATGATAAATTCAGATTTGATAAATTATAATTCCCAAAAAGAAACTGTTTCTGACATAACCATGACCAGCTCAGTCAACTAGAACAAACTCTAATCTAGTGTTCTGCAAAAGAGCTTTGCCTGATGGGAAAATGGTGGACACTACGGCACTTGGCTTCCCAACAAGCACATCCTTTTCAACAAATAAACAAAATGGGAGAAGGAAGTGAAAGAAATTCGTTTTTTCAAAGAAAAGTACATCCACTGCTCCCCTATATTTTCCTGGCAAGTCTCCCACATCAGACCTGAAAGTGAGGACAGCAACACGATTCTCTCAGGCCGCTGGCGTGGTGGGAAGACATGCTCTGAGGCAACAACAGTTTGCAGAAACCAAGTTACTTCTATTCTCATAATCAGTTTGATCATCGTTTTTAAAGGGAAAAGAAAGAGGGGTCCAGGATACAAGACAGCCACCATCTCACAGGCCTGTGGTGTAGGGGAACTGAAATAAAGCCCCAGCAGAGTTGAGCAATAGAAACAGTTTCTTTCTGTGCCTAAAAGTGTTTGACAGCTGTTGCAAAACTCCAGAGCCTCCCCCAAGGAGCTCATAATTTAGCTGAAGGGAGTCACACAGCTGTGGCATGGCAAGCAGTTTGCAAAGTACATCATCATGGCCCAGCCTGTTAGTGTTCCGGAGAGTGAGGGAAGGCCCCTGGGCACATTTACAGTAAAGGGCGCTTACTGAGCCCTGCAGATTATTTTGCACTAGCCAGGATGGACGAAGAGCCAATAGGGGAGAGAGAAATGCACGAGCCAATATGTAAGCAGAGGGCAGAAACAGCAAGGCTGGAAGGAGGTGTACCACTAAGTACCTAAGAGGAGGGTAAAGGAAGGGAGCCATGAGACTTGCCAGGAACTGGAGGGCCTCAAATCCAACAGCAAAGTTCAGTCTTGCTGAGAAGTTACGACAAGTGGGAAACAGTTCTGTGAGCAGAGCCGTGGGGGGAAGTAAAATGGTGTTCTGCGAGGATTAACCTGACAACAGTCTGAGAAAGACCAGCCTCAGAGGCTCGGGGAGGGAGGCCGCAGCAGGGCACCATCAGCTCCAAATCGTATCACCTAGAAGGAATCAGGCCAGCCTGCACACCACTGCAGAGGAAGGAGAGATGCCAAAAACCGTGGCATGCGAGTCTGAGAAATACCCAGCCCAGGGCTGGGGGTGTGGCTCGGTGGTAGAGCACCGCCTAGCATGCACAAGACCCTAGCTTCCATCCCCACAACCACAAGAAAGGCAGGGGAGAAAACCCCAGCCCAGCAGTGCCAGGGGAGGTGGGAGCAGAGCTGGTTTGACAGTAAGAACAGGCTCAATACACTGGGAGGTAAACAGATAATAAAAGGGAAAAAGGCCTTGGACGTTTTAACCACCTCCGTGATAAAAGCCATGTCATGCTCCTGGTGGGGAGGGGAGGTTAGAACAGCCCAGTGATCTTTAGGTAAACATTAGTTAACTGCTCTTGCTCACTTCTATTTAAGCACTACTGCAAAGACCTACTAGGCTAGGATTTGTAGAATTTTTGAATAATGTCTGTGTACTTGGGAGACCGCTTAAAATGAAAGACACCCTTTTCATTAATAATAGTTTACGAAAAGTGTCACTGACTAGAATACTACAACGTTCTGTGTAAAACTACTCAACATGGAAAATCAAGATAATTCAATTCTTACATTCCCTTCTGAAAGTGTTTGCCACAAGCCTCCATGAAGGGGTGCAGCCTTTGTCACCCACCACAGCACCTGGTGACTCAGCAGGGCTGGGGCAGGCAGAGCAGGGGGGTGAGGACAGGTAGACATACTGCGGCCTACGATGGTCTCTGACGTTTACCTGGCGCACCTGCCTCCAGAGGGAAGTCAGGAGCGAGGCAAGGGCGGGAATGCCACAGCAGCTTCCGCAAGAATGGGAGTGGAGAAAGTTTAGAAGGAGCCTTCAGGTACGGGGTGGGACCCAAGCAACTGCCAAGGAACCTTGACTTACCTTGAGTCATCAGCTTTTAAATTAGATTTCACACCAAGAAGCAAGTTTTGAAGGTGGACTTTTCCAGACTTACATGCAAGTAAGCAATGACTATAAACTGACTTCCTTTCCTGTCAGAATGTACAGTGTAGTTCATACTCTTTATGTTACAGCCAATCTCAATGGGAAAGAATGACTCCATGTGCTTGGTAAAAGGGTTTTGTGTCACCTAGATGAAAATGATCTGTGACAACCACAGAGCTTAATGGCTGTGAAATACCACAAGTGAACCGGCAGAGAGTGAGACAGGATGCAAAATCAGAGAAGAGCAGGAGGGGCAAGAAGTAATTTGTAAGGGAAAAGCATGGAGAAGAAATAGCAATAATTAAAACATCCCGAGCAGTGATTCCCAGGCCCGGTATAGTAAGAGCCCAAAGTATTACAGATTGCCTCAAGAAGTCCCAGAATTCTTAAAAACTCAAAGCAAAACTAGTTTTACATCAATTTAATTAAAATATGCTTTTATGGAACTGTAAGAACAAAGGCACAAATGCCAGTCAATCAAATACCAAAGTACAGTAATGAAACTTCAGAAATATTAGGAAGGACTAAGTTAGAGATAAGACAATCATGTTACTTTTTAAAATTATTTTTATGTAAATATAAATTACTGACAAATACTAGTGTTTTTCTTTATAAATATACTTCTCTTGGAAAGATTTTAAAAGGTTTTCTTGGGTTGTTTGGGTAAAGAATCTAGTGTAGGAAGATCTTTTCTTATCACTTTGGGGAACTGGCACCTAAGTCCTAAAACCTCTCCCCCGCACCGCCCCAAATTTAATCTTGTTGCTAATTAGGCAGGCTTCCCTGCCACAGGCTCCAGAAGAGTCTGAAGGGAGCTTCCTGAGAAAGAAGTCACAACCTGTCTGTGAAGTGTGGTCACTGGGAAGGGTGGAGCGTGCAGAACAAGTCCTAGCACAAATGGAATCTGAGACCAAGGAGTAGCTTTGCGCCGGCTCACACATCACCACCTAAAGGCCGAGCCTTGGAAACTGACACAATCAGGAACAGGACACTGAAAACATCTGCCCATGAGTTTTACAGCCAAAATAATGTTTATGTGGACAACAGCAAGAACACAGCCCGCTCTTTTCTACACTTATAACCTCAAAAACCCTGCAGTTTAAAAACACAGGCCCCAAATAATCTCAAGGTCTACATAAACAACTCGGCACTCCAGGCACTTCTGTTCCCTGTTTCTCTGCCTCCTTCTGCTTCCACCTCAATGCCTCACAATTTGTCCTCCTGTGAACCAAAGCCAGAAGAACTTGTGCCATCACTCTGGACTGCAGGGAACCGTGAGCAAGCCGCTGGAAGGGAATGACAGCAGATTGTGTGAGCACTTTTTGGTAAATATGGATGCAGCATCAGAAGTGGTAAATATTCACATAAATGTATGGTTTTTATTTACACATTACCTTTATTTATCCTTTAACACTCTGTTGTTCAGGCTAAATACTAAGTGTCCCCCTTTGGTGGACTGGCAGTCCTCAGGGGCATTTCTGTAGTTACTCAAAGCCTCCAAACTGTCCCTTTTCCCCTTACTAGGTAGCTAGGAATACTTCGACAAGAAAAGCAAATGATAGGGCTGCAGGTGTCGGCCTGTACTGGTTCTTGTCTCCATTAACTCCCCTTTTCCATAATTCTTAAGGGGTCCAAGGGCTAAGATTTTTTAAAATAGTGTTTGAAAGCTTATTCAGCCTAAGTTAAATAAAATTCATTGAATTCAAAATATGTAAATGAAAACTGAGGAGGCTGAAAATAAGTTGGCTCTTTTGTTACGTATTCTAATAGAAAAATATAAAGAACTGCAGTAGTGTTAAATAATCTATACATCAATATATTTATTTTAAAATCAAATAGAATATGTGAAATGAAACAAAAACAGCAGTATTCATTTCTATGGTTGCAAGCCTGGTTCAAAAGAAATGATAATGAAATGTTTTTGTAACATTCTACCATGTCAAGAAATGAGTAAAAAGGCACCAACGCAGCAGGCCTGAGAAATTCAGAAAGTTTTAAAAATATTAAGATAATTTGGAAACTAATTCTGGACATGCTAACTACTTACAAAACCTTGTACACAATTACACAAAACTAATTCAATTTTCTGACCATTTTACTCTTCCTTAAAATAGCGTGGGGATTAAAGTAACGAAATAATCCTGTCTTTCCAACTGGCAAATTGCGTAAGTAGCAGAGGAACTGGTTTCACACCTCTTTCAAGATACTATCATTTTTCCAAGCCGCACAAGACAAACCTCAAGAATTATCACCTTCCTCTAAAAAAAGGAGAAAAGAAGGCAATTTGTAAGAGAGAACAATGTAGAATAGCTGTTCGATGTTTAATCGCTGTCGTCTGCACAGAGTAGCTACTGAAGGGATAAATGAAACACAAGTAAGTGAACACAGGGGTTTTAACACAGTCAATCTCCCCAACAAGTCACAGGCCAACTTTTAGAAAGCAGGTAATACTCGGGTTGAAGATACCCTACGGCAAGCAGTAAATTGCCCGCAGTTCTCTATCATGTCTAAGTCCTGTTTAACCACTAGAGACTATTAAGGTTATTTTGAAAATGCACATTACCTGTCCTTCTCCACCACGACAGGGCTTGGATAGGACTGGTTACTTTTATTGCCAGTGCCCAACTGGCCGTAAGAATTTGCACCCCAAGCGTACACCTGCCCTTCATCTGTTAACACCAATGTGTGTGCGTAGCCACAGGCAACCTGGAAGGACAAAAACAAATTCTGTCAGGCCTGCAAACAGAAGGAAACGTTTCCCAAGGTGGATAACGCATCAAAACGAAAAGGAAGAAGAGGCATTCTGCCCCAAAAGGCCAATGTTAATGCCCTTCCAGCCCTGGCACAGGCCCCGTGGCCGGGGTGCAGGGACCTCGAGCGGTTCGGGTTGCCCGCGCAGCTCCGCCGTTCTCGGCTGCTGCTCTTCACGCTCACTTGAAACCAAGGGGCGTGAGCTGAATGTGCAACACAGACACTTTTATTCTTGTTTCTGATTATTAGAGTAAAACACGTGCAGTGTGAAAAGCAGAGACACGTATAAACAGAAAGTACTCTCAAGATCAGTTCCCGGTCTTCTTCCACGTATTTATATACGGACACCGAGACATGAACCTACACGTTTAAATGATACCGTACAAGCGGTTCTATATCTTGTTTTTTTTTTTTACTTAAATTAAACGGAGCACTTTCCCATATCATTAAAAATTCTTTGTAAGCATCATTTTCGTCAGACAGACTTGGCATAACTTGTCTAGTCATTTACTTATTGTTTCATTAAATTAGGCTACACCTACCATCTTTTATGAAAGATCCTTTTTGGTTGGTTTTATGATTTTGGTTTTGGATTTTTGGTTATAGCTTCTTCACTAATTCTAGGAGAGACTTTCTCTTTGGTTCCTTAGAATGTTTTCCAAGGAATGGAATTATAGGTTAAAGAGTACGAAGATTTTTAAAGCTCTTCACACATACTGCCAAAGGCCCTCTGGGGACAGCTGTAACAGCTTACACTTCAGCAGCTGTGTGTGCCAGCACCCTGCAAACAGAACCCTGAACAGCTACAACTTAATTCAGGGAAAAGGGCTTAGCTTTTCCTTCAGTGAAGACAGCCAGTCAGTGAAACGTTTCATCCTGCTAAGAAAACTGTTTTTGCCACTGAAGATCTAAAAACACGCACACCCAAACCAGCAGTGGACTTACCCGCTGCACGCGAATGCCCTGCAGAGCTGCCACTCTACAGGGCGTTGGCTGGTTGCCACTGCTGCCGAGTCCCAGCTGCCCATTCCCATTGTAACCCCAGACATAGACCTGGAGAGGATGAGGAAAAGAATGGTCATGAAAGACAATCGGCAACCAGTTCTGCTCTGAGAAACATGCCATGCTCGTGTAACAAGGGCATGCAAGAAGGTTTTTAAATAAAACATGAAGTAGCTGTCTCACCTCCCCAGCGTCCACCACTGCCATGGAGCACATCTGCCCACAGGCTATGTTCACAACCACTTTATTCTGTAAGCAGCCAGTGACTCTTCGAGGGATCGCCTGATTAGCTGTGGATCCAGAGCCTACCTGCCCAGAGTTATTATAGCCCCAGGCAAACACCTAGATAGAAGAGATTGAAGAGCGAGGTCTATTATAGTGTCTCAGCTGGACACCTATGGCCCCTATCCCTCCTCTCAAAGTGATTCAGAACCTGAAATTCCTACAACGCTGGCAGAGAAGTTTTTATAAAAACCATTTTTACACAATATGTTGTTTTATAAAAAAATAGGTTCTTGGTGTTATCTACACAAACAGCAATCATTACCACCAAATACCATACAAAACACAAAAATATCTACTTTGCCTCAGCCATATTCACCAACATTTCAGGGTTTTCCTTTTTGTAAATGAACCCTTTAGTATAGCAGTACAGAAGGAATAAAACATCCTTTTACATTTCGCAGTGATGGAAGTCCTTACTTCATACAAACTTCATAATATAAACTTAATGAATACCAAGAATAATGCTGGATTTCAGGATTATTTTAATCAAATGGTTAAACTTCCAGACTGCTAAGGAATCTGTAAAATGTTACTCAAATCAATGAGCTTTATGTTATTCTCACCTCACCATCAGATGTTAGCACCAAAGAATGGTAAGACCCACAGGCAACTTCAATGACTTGTTTGTTTGACAAATTAGTAGAGATATGACTGGGCACTAAACCGTGATTAATTGTACCATTGCCCAGCTGGCCATACGCATTATGACCCCAGGTAAAGACTTCTCCTTCTGAAAATAAACAGAAAGACCAGCTTTTAAAGCATCTAATTCATTATATGAAGATACATATTACCACACTTGCACAAATGAAAATTAAAAATCTGACTGCAAAGAACTAAATCAAATTCTCTATTACACCAGATTCACTCCATGAAAGAAGTTATTTGGCAAGTATAAACTGATCTCTGTCTCAAAGCAACAAGATGAAATTTAAATGCATGCAGTTATAATAGGTGAGAGATATATTTTTAGTAAACAGCAGGAAAAAAATAAAAAAATTAACAGCACAGAAGGCCAGGTGTAGTCCCAATACTTGGGAGGCTGAGGCAGGAGGATTGCCATGAGTTTGAGGCCAGCCTGGGCTACATGGCCAGATCTTGTCTCAAACAAAACAAAACAATAAAATAAAAGCAGAGAAAAAGCTGCTAAAAATAACAGAGAATCTATCAAATCAAAAGCCAAATGACTATAAGGCTTTTTCACTCTTACGGATCTGTTTCCTTTTCTGTAAAATAATCACTACTTTTAAAAATCTTTTTTATTGTACTATTTATTGAACAATATAGTACAAATAAAAGTTCATAAAATATAGTATAAGTATAAAGCACACACCCACATACTACTCCTTAGGTTAAGAAATATCTCCCCCTCCAAAGCCTCTCCTATATGAGTCTTACATAAAAGAAGTTTCGTGGTATTGAACTCTAAACAAGTGGAATCAGACCGTATGTATCCACTTTGCCTGTATTTTCCTCTACATTGTCTCTGTACTACATATTGAATAATTTCTTCTGATCAATCCTCAAGTTTATTGATCTTTTATGATATTGAAACTGCTATGGAACTTGTCCAATGAATTTTCATTTTGATCATTAGATTGTTCTTTCAGTCTTTTTCAAAATTTCTATGATCTCTGTAGATATCTTTGAGTTTACTCTATTTTTATTTTCAAAGAAGAAACATTGGGGCTGGGGATTTAGCTCAGCGGCACAGTGCCTGCCAGGCAAGTGCAAGGTCGTGAGTTCAATTCCCGGTACTGGAAGAAAAAAAAACAAAGAAGAAGCATGGCTGTCTGGTACCTGATAATTCTAGCATCTATGAGATACAAAACAAATAGTTGGACCTTTACCACAATGCAGCTGATTTCCAAAGCTCAGTGCTGACATACACATGTTAAAATAATTGCCTATTTATTAACGAACAAATAGACAATAATGTTGGCATGTTATTTTCTGTTTTGTCTATCGATGGGCCTGCTTCTTACCAATATTAGAAAAATGTTTTATAAAAGCAATTTATGTTACTTTTCTAGTCTTTTCACGCCATCTGAACAAATAAACTATTTACATGACAAAAAAAACTATTATCTGATGTTTAGCATTCAGTTCTGTCTATTGTTTATGCTTGTTTTCATTTATTAAGTAAAATCTGGAAGTCATTTGTCTCGACTGAGCTGCTGTACTAACCCAAGAGATCAAACCAAACCAAACAGAAAATAAGATGTTTATGTGACCTGCCGGGGCAGGGACTGAATCCCTGAACGGGTCAGATGAAGGATCTCATTTAATCCTCATAGCTCACTGGAAAAGTCATACTATTTTATGGAATGAGGTACTGCTTAGAAAAGCCAATTACATACAATCTTTAACCCTGTTGTAATTTTGTCTTTGCCTACTCGTGGTGCCTTGTTTGCTGTATGCCTGGTTATCTTGGAGAATGTGCTGTGTATTGCCAATGAAGTATTGCCTATGGTGATCTTGCCAGGCCTCTGATGAAGGTGGCTTCCTCGAGAAAGCATCTGTACTAATTTTTATCCTGACCTTAAAGCACTTCCACCTCCAGTACCTCCAATAAATTCAAAGCTTGAGATTTCTTGGACCAACCAGTCTGATGTGAATTAAATCACACATATCACATGTTTAGAAACTCTCAGGGAGAGGGCTTCTTTCACTTCTCTCTCTCTCTCCCTCCCTACTTTGCTCAGAGGAAGGAATTCTGTTCAGTCTTTGCGATGTGGCGGATACTTTCCTGAGGAAGCAGCCAGTGTAGTTCCAGCTTGAGTGTGAAGACCTCTGTTACAGACATGCGCCCTCTTTATCTCCTGAGCGAATACAAACACTGTTCAGTTCAGCGCCTAGGAAGATGTCCTGAAAGCAAGACGGCTTTGAGTTCTCCTCTAACCTTACTTGATTTCTCCTACATTGGTTTGATAATTGCTTTCTGCCTTGCCAGTGCTGCGTGAAAAAAATTTGAATTTTTTTTAGGTTCCTGTGGTCCAGAAGGCACTGTTCTTATACAGTAATTACTCTCATAAAATAAAACCTGAAGAGGCTTATTGCTCTTATTGCATTGTTGTTCATTTATCTAAAATGCCGATAACTAGTAAGAGTCCATTTGCTGTATTATGTTATCCTGATATTTAGATATATTCATTTCATACTGTCCAATGCATAGTCAAGTTCACATGGCAGAGCTACCACATCTTCCAAAATCAGAAAGTGTATTCTCAGTTTCAGGGGTGGTCCTAGTCTTGTTTCTCAACAAACAAAGTAGCAGCTAAAACTCTGTTGAGGTGAGTTCTTCTTACCTGTTGTTGCAAGGACGACGTGGGGACCACTCCCATAGCTGAGGCAAGCTATCTTTTTGTCACTTAAAGAATCCAGTCTCCGAGGTTCAAGGGTGCTCTGCACGTCACCTAACCCCAGACAGCCACTGCAGTTCGTGCCAAGCACAAAAATCTGGGAGAAAAACCACTACGGATTCAAGCAGCTCTATTTATAACAAGCCTATAAAGTACATTCAAATAGGCATAGTCTTCCTAAAACAAACTGACTCCTTATGAATACAAATCAGTTTTCCCTGCTTTTAAAAATCATCTTTATTCCTTAGTTCTCCCCCAAGATCTTCCATTTAACAAATCTATTACTAAAGCTATGGGTGGCTAAATTTTACCTCATTTGAAGAATTACCTCATCATTTACCGTAGTATATAAAACTTCATTGCCAGCACTGCCAAAGACACAAGCCTGACGGATTAACTGCAGTTCTTCCTCAGAACAAAGGGAAAAAATTGGCCACTTCCCCACATCTAACATCTTCAAAGATGACAGAGTAGCGTGTACTGACTGAAAAAGAAAACAACAATAAGTATTTTGAGACTCTTAATTAAAAAGTACACTTTCTGTGCTCCTTCTGCTTCTGCAGAGGAGGGCTAACCTGGTTACGGTTATGGAGGAATGCGCGGTACCTATCTCTTAGAGGCCCCTCACCATGGCAGGAGGTTCCTATATGCCACCCGCGTCTATGCTGCTGTCATGACAACTGGACACGAGAGGCCTGCATGTCATCAGCTGTCACCTGCTAATCTTCAAGGACACACAAAGCGCCCACACCTGAACTTTGGTGAGTTCCAATATTTAGTAAATACTTTTAATATTGGCCTGTCCTAAATGTAGCTGTGGAAACGAGGCTGGTTATAAAAGCAAGGAAAGACAGCGGAGAGAAGGAGCACTGGCATTTGGTCTGCTGCCTAAGTGTTACAGGTTTGTAGAAGAGCAGTGCTGAAGGTGACACCCGGGAAACGGCCCAATGTTTCAGTCCCTGACCTTGAGTTTGAGGAGTGGTAGGGCTTCCTTGTCCCCCACTCAGCTTTGGAATTGCTAGGAAGAAACTATATATACTGGTTTGCTACAGCAGTGTAACAAAGCAATAAAAATTAACTAACAGTTCTGAGGGTTAAAAGTCCAAAAATCAAAGTATCAGCTACTTTGGCCCCTTGTGAGGATTAGGAAAGAAAGACCTATTTCAGACTTCACCTCTTGGCTTGTCTGTTCATACTGTCTACCCAGTATGTATATCTCTGTGTCCAAATTTCCCCTTTTATAAAGTCATCAGTCATACTGGATTAGGTAGGGCCCACCCTAGAACCTCAATTAACTAAATTAATTATATCTGCCATGACCCTATTTCTAAATTCCTGCCTTCATAGGTACTGAGCGTTAGGACTTCAAACATGGATTTTGGAGGGTCACAAACTCGTAAGAGCAAATCATGAGTATCTGTATTCCCAAAAGAACATCAAATATGCACATTATAAAATTGTTTTAAAAGACTTTATGTATCTGCCACATGGAGACATTTTTATAGATATACTTTTCAACTCAAAAATTTTTAGGATTACAATAAGATGCATAAACAGTCACTACACCCATAAGAAGGCGTGTTTAGCTACTTCCCACGATTATTACCAATCATGTTTGCTTTAATAAGCAAAGATTTTCTAAGGCTCTGTTTCTCATCAGCTATTAAACTAACCTCACCAGAAATGAGTTCTGCTATAGTCAAGTGGACTAGCTACTTACTTTCTACAGATCTAGAAGAATATCTGTTCCTCCCACCTTAGGAATCACCTGAAGATGCCTATGAGTATGTCTGCAATGCTGCTCTCCCAAAGACCACACTATTGACTGCAGGATACCTTGTGCTCAGACTCCTCCAGTACAGTTCACAAAGACAGAGACCAAGTTGGTCTCATTCACATACTGGAATGGGGTGAAGTATCCAGGAAGTATCAGTTAAGCGAACAAATGAACGTTGGAATGGATGACTGTACTTCCAGTCACAGCTCTCCTTCCCATCCCACCCTCTGTAACACCAACTTCCCAGTTCTTTCCCTGTGTGCCTTAACTCCAATGGTTTCCATTTTTACTTCATTTATGTCACATTATCCAAGACTACTCTACCACCAAGTTCTGCAACTTTTCAGTTCCTTTCCAATCCGTAGCCAACAATCCTTAACCTGCATCCAAAGTAAGTTCTGCAGGGAGTAGCAGATGACCAGGAAGCATCAAAAGCTGTCCCAGGGACAATGAACTTCTAGCAGAAGAAAGCAGAGCCATCACCTTGGTACTGAAATTATAATTATTCCTTGGTAACCACAGATCAGTTCCATGACATGCTCAGATACCAAAGTCTGCAGATATTAAAGTCACTTATAGAAAGTGGTATAGTATTTGCATATTATCTGTAGACATTGTCCCACGGACTTAATCACCTCCAGATTCCGGATAGTATCAAGCACAATGCAAATGCTATGTAAACAGTTGATATACTGCATTTTTAGGGAATAATGATTTAAAAACCCCAGAAAACAAAATAACCATCATAGGCCTAACTACACAGCACGTGAACGAGGCTTGAGGCACACAGGGAGCACTGGGGAGAAGCTGAGGACTCGTGCAATGGCAGCGTGAGCCTACACATCACTGCATCTACATGGGCTCAGCGGCATGTGGGAAATTCAAGTTTTTCTTGTGAGAACTGTCTGGAGTTCCCCTCCCTCAGTGTTTTCAATGTGCACTTGGTTAAGTCTGTGCATATGGAACCTCAGTGGTACAGACGACCAACTGCATACCTTTGATTCTGTCTTCTCAGAAACATGTTCATGGAACTAATGCATGGTGTGTGGCTAGAAAGCATTCTGAAGATCATTTTATAGATGGAAAATCTGAAGAAGAGCCAGAGAAAGGCTGCAGTACACTGAACAGTGTCCCCCCCCCTCCACACACACACAAAATCCCAAAACTCTAATCTACCTGGAACCTCAGAAGGCACTCTTATTGCAAGTCAGGTTTCTGCAGCTATAATGAGCTAAAGTGAAGTCACATAAGATTAGAGGGGGCCCTAAATCCAATGACTAATGACCTTAGAAGAGAAGGTCACACAGAAACGGACAGGGCCACATAACAACGGGGGCAGAGAATCCAGTAAAGCATCTTTCAAACGACATGGCAGGGACTGGCAGGACCCGCCAGAGCAGCTGGAAGACTGATCCCCGTTCAGAAGAAGCACAGCCCTGCTAAACGTTTCATTTCAGACTTCCAGTCTCCAGAATTGCGAGAGAAGAAGCTGCTGTTTTAAGCCACTTGGTTTGCAGCCATTGTTACAGCAGCCCTCAGAAACTAAGGCAGAGGCAAAGCAGCTGGGCCTGCCAACAGCACCACCCTGTGAGCTGAGCTCCCTTCACCCCGCCCGCTGCAGAGGGGGTCACAGAGCCTGTGCCAGAAGTGAAGCTGTCTGGCGCTTTCTGTCGGGCAGCAGAAAGGGTTGGTTTTTCTGTTCAACTTTGAAGCAGTAATTATTATTTCTGCAATTATTTTAATTATGAGTACATTTTACAAGAGCAGTAATCTTCATTTGAAATCTAGAAGTTTTAAAAAAAAATCTCACATAGACAGGAAATGACAACTATGTGAAAGTATAACATTAGGTCCCTATTTTTACTGTATGTATGTTTTTAAAACATAAAGACTTTAGTGATACTATGTTAATCTAAGAATCCAAGAATTTTTTTTTAAAAAAAGATTTATTTCTTCACTATTAGACATTTTGAAACTGGAAGAAGAGAAATTTGCCCAAGGTCCCCAGAGACAGATCGTATTGTGTTAGATTTTAGTCTAAGCTTCTACTTTAAATTACCCACCTCTTCAGATGATGAAGCAATCTTATTTTCTAGGAGGTCTGCTTTCTATTTTTTTATGTTTTCCTTCTGTAAATTTCAAGAAGAACAACCTTTGGAAAGTGACATCAAGTATCTAATGTGGATGTATAGATGTTTTAGTTAACAGAGTTCTTATATATTATTTCTAATGTCTCCAATAGTCAGGACATAGGTACTGCTATTCTCCTTTTACATATGAAGCACAGAAAGGCTAATCCTGCAAATCACTACATTCAAAGCAGGTAAGCCCAGTCTAAAGCCCAAATTTTGCCAGGGATATAGCTCAGCAGCACAAGCATTTGCCTGGTAATCACAAGGTCCTGAGTTTGATTCCTGGTACCAAAAAAAAAAGGCCTGGATTTTGAGTAAAAGTTCAAAAAAAAAAGTTGTACTACCAACAGCCCCAATGTCTGCTTGCATCTGTAACTGCAGGGCTTTGACTATTGTTTCCATAGACTCCCTAAAGAAAAAGGGAGCAATTCTTGCTGTATTTTGTCTTCCACAGACATGCAGCTAGCAAGATGCAGTGACTGCTACCTCATTTTTTTTTAATGATGTTTTTTTTTTCTTTTTTTGGAGACAGGGTCTTGCTATGTAGTTCAAGATGGCCTTGAACTCGCTATATAGCCCAGGCTAGCCTTGAACCTGCAGAGATCCTCCTCCTTCAGCCTCCTAAGTGCTGGCTTATTTTTTTATTTTTCAAGCAGATTTCTAGATTTCTGCTTGCCCTGTTACAAAATTAGTGGTTTTACAGATGCCTAGAATCAGGCTGAAAATTTCGAATCAGCTTTTAAACACTTGTCTAGAAGGCATCAGTTCTGAACTTTTTTCCTGCCTACTTGTACAAAAACTAACAGGACTCAGCTTATGACTCTTCTGACTGCTGGAATTCTGATCTATGTGGGTGTTCAATGGAACTGCAGTCTGGTCAGTATTAAAACATACTACTAGTCAAGCGAATTTGGGCCTGATGGTATCACTGAACTGAAGTTATAAAAATGAAATGTAATCATTCCTTTCAGAAGGTCACAATTTAATGAAAACAAATAATTACAATGAAACCTAAGAATAACAGAAATGTGAATATCTTGCTGTTTATAATCTGTCAGAAGGCTGGCTGTTGCATGTTAGTCATCGAAGACTCATTTTTTTAACTCATTTTTCCCTACAGAGGGAATTAGTGACTTCATTCATAAATGCACGTAGCTATACTTCTTTGAAATAAATGAGTCTCACGTAATTACAGGATCTCCATTCACAGAAGCACATTCAGGAGGCAATGTGCCAGGATTGAGCACACAGCTTCTGTAGGAGCCTCAGTCACCTGACAGTCACTTTGAAGGGCATCTTAACCATTCCACGGCCTCACGTCAGGAAGTGACTGGCTGAGCAAGAGCTGGGGATGTGGAATGGACACATCCGCAGGTCAGAACAACCACTACTACTGCGTCTGGCTCGCTTCCCCTACCTGCTGCTGGCATCTGAGAAATGCGAAGTAGTGAGATTTTATATTATCTAAAGGAAAACATGACAAAAGAAATACATCTTCCATAATATTAGAGACCTTAGGCCTCTGAGTGTGTGATCCCTGTAGCACCAGGCTCTGCATCAATATGAGGAATCAAGTGGGTGACTACATTTTACTTAATCACAGACATCTGTCCAGTAGTCACAATTCAACTTAAAATATGGCCATTTATAAAGAATAAAAATTACATGTTGGGCATGCCTACCAAACCAATTTCTTAAAAAGAAAGGCAACACCTAACCCTTTGAAGATTTCCTAGCAATACACACCTTCCATGTAACAAGATAGTGATTCCTCTGCTGACTCTGCAAATCCTTTCTTTTATTTTGTGAAATCTGTTCCCAGGAAAAATTAGGGATTTTTCTATTAATATTTTGTAAGCCTGCCAAGCTCTCTCAGTACTTCTGTAAGCTACTTTCCAACCTTTCAACAAGGGCTCCCAAATTAACTTTTTCAGTCCACACATGGTAATGCTGTAGTTCAGTTTCAGAAGCTCTGCCATCTTTGTACAACATGCTGGGTTTGTAAAATTAATTTGTATTTTGTATTGATTTTCACTTATTATAAAAGAGTAGAACACAGACAAATGAAAGTGGTAGTCAATACTAAGTTGTTTAATGGTGATGAGCTGATGTTTTATAAATTTAATAAAATACCAGGTAGAAATCAATAGGCATGCTGAAAGATGTGAAATTTTTAATATCAACTGGACACTATTTGGACTTAAGATGGTTGACCTTCATATTCAGCTATCATAGAAAAGAAATAAAGAATATGGTGAACTGAGAACCTGTCTTCTAAGATTATCTTATGATTTTGTAAAAGTCTCTGGGAAAAATCTAAATATTTCTTATCTCAGAGTCCTCTGCACAACGGCATTATCTGAGACAGCAGATTCATACACCTCAATGTCACTGTCCCTGGGAGCCCCTTCTCCACTTCTCGACAGTATCCGTTTCCAGCTGGCACTTCAGCGTCTGCATCCCTAGACTAATAATCAGTTGGCATCTCAGGTACTACACTGTAAGCCCAAAGGAAGATACCATCTCAGAGATCTTCCCAGCAAGGCACTGCAAGATACCTGCTGAACTATGTTTCATGCAACACAATGCACATGCACCAAGGGCATGATTTTGTCTAACCTTGCCACTGCCTCCACAGAAAAGAGGAAGTTCTTCTTCCATACGGACTCAGTCCTGGTTAGTCCCTGGGGAAAGAGCACGTGGCAAAATCAGAAACCCATATGCTAGATGAGAACAGACAGGTTAAAGTGACTATTTTTAAGCCAGGGAAGGTGGTGTGCACCTGTAGTCTCAACACTTGGGAGGGCTGAGACAGAAGGATCATTTGAGTTCAGGAACTCAAGATCAGTTAGGGTAACACAGTGAGACCCCATCTCAAAAAAGAAAAAAAAAATCACTTCTACTCAACAGGGAAAATAAGCTAAGCTCCGATATGGTGAAAAGAACACAAGGGAAATAAGGTTTAGGCACGGGAGTTGAAGAGCTGTAAAAGCCACAGGTGTTGTTACTGTTCTGGAACTCTTAGGGAAACATTCTTCCCAGGGCTAGAAAGTAACCGTAGAGTAACTGTAGGCTCTTGTGTCGACAAGGAAATGAGTAGAAAATGTTTGTGTCAGAGCTGATTTCCTCTGGATAAGGAAAAATAAATTTTAGACCTTGGTCAAATTTTCTCTGGGACTGTAAAGTTCCAAATCACTGTGAAGAGCAGATTTATCAATTCTGAGATTCACTGAAGAATGTATGATTTGTTAAGCTGGAAAAAAAAGAAGAAATGAATGAAAAGGATGAAAGGATGAACAGGGCTTTGTTATCTTAAACTTTAACCAAAAAGGCCTGGAACAACAGCCAACAGGGATGCAGCAACAGCACTGAATATTATTGCTTTAATAACCATTGCCACCGTGACACCTTGCTACTATGAAGAAGTGCCGGTCAGGGCTGGAGTGACAACTGGAGCAGCCCTATCAGAAGATGTGCAGTGTCTGTGCGCCCCAGTTCAATATTACACAACTATCACATCACTAAATATAAGCATAAATAAAATATTATATTCCCCCCAGATTATTAAAACTATATTTCATAATGTTGATTTTTTAAATTTATTAGGCTGATTCCTTATTACTTAAATATAATCCATATTTCAAGTATTAATATTGGAACATTTTATCTGCTACTTGCTATAGTAGAGGTAGATCCTTATAATTTGACAGATAAAAGATAAAAACAATAATCAAAATGAGGCCATCTTAATGTTCCTTATCAATATTTTATGTGCCCTTGAGGATCTGAGTAATTTTTTTCTCAGCTATGAATATGTCTCTAGAATATAAGAATAACATATTCAAAATAACTGTAATTCAAACTATAGTAATTAGTAGCAAACCATTATTTCTGGTTTTTGGAAACAAGTCAAAAAAGGCATGCTTGTTTTCAAAAGGGTAACTTGTCAACCAAAACTTGATCTGGTTGGCAATATGAAAAGACAGTCTCCCACGTTTAATCAATTCTATACATTATGCCATTTCAGGAGTTTTGTTAAAATCCTAATTTTCACTAAAACTCAGCATAACTGTCACTGAACTTTACACAGATATGGTTCCCGATTCCAAATAAGGTAAACTATTCCTCTCTGTATTTCCATAGGACTTTTTGTGTAGACTTCATAAACAGCACTTTTCATATTCTGTCTCATATCATCTATCCTTACTCTGTTAATTTACAATCTCTTTAAACAGAGGATCATGATTCATTTGTTGCTCTAACCATTACAGCATACAATGTATACACTGAAAGCATCCTCAGGTTCTAATTTTTGCATTTTGGAGATTGCATATTCAAGATTCCTCTGTGTGTGTGTGTGTGTGTGTGTGTGTGTGTGTGTGTGTGTGTGGTGCTGGGGATTAAACCCAAGGCCTAATGTATACTTGCCAACTCTTCTACCACTGAGCTACACCCCCAGCCCAGGGATTTCCTTTTTACCTCATCCTAACTGGAAACACCTCCTTCACGTCCGTCTCCAAGATCACTGAAATAAAAAATAAGATAGGGGACAGAAAGGACTGAGGGTATGGCTCAGCGGCAGAGTGCTTAGCTACCATGTATGAGGCCCTGGGTTCAATTTCTCTAAATTCAATCCCAGCTCCACTAAAAAAGGGGAGGGGGGAGGGACAGAGGGAGGAACAGGGAGAAAAAGAAGAAGCAGAAGGAGAAGAGCAAGGTGAAAGAATTCTAAAGCAAAAAGAGAAAGGAAATAATGAGAGGAGAGTAAGAGCAACCAAAGTAAAGAGGTAAGACTCCTCACTGTTCTTTAACCCTCCTGTCCTAGAAGAAGGGAAGCTTGCTAGTGGGCTAAGACAAGGGACCAGTAATCCTGAGTTTTAAAGTAGGAAAATAAATGACTCTCCTCATGTCTTTGATCAATTACAAGTATAATAAACTCTTTCAAAGTTAGAATGGTGGCCATCATATTTATTTGATTGATCATCTTAAAACATAATTGCTTATGTGTCATATGAAAATTACCACATTCAAAGAAATGACTTTTATAAGATTCAATTAGCACTAAATATAAGATTAACATAATTTTATGTTTATGATCATAAAGTCCTTCAAGATTTAAAAACGATTAAGGATTAATTACTAATGTCTGACACTAAAAAATATGTTGATTTTTCCAGCTTTGTAGAAAACTGCTTTTTTTCTCTTCTATGATTCCAATATGATACACACATAATAGAAAAAACTAGTTTCTCCAATTTGCTCTATTGCAGAGATATCGTTTTTGGAAAATATGGAGACTATAGTTATCTTACCTTGTTATCCATGTGATTTCATCAAGTCATTATTATCAATATTGTAGTAATATAGTGACATATACACTTTTTAAAAATCCACAACAGACACACAGAAAAACATATCCATGATGTGATAAAAATGTATTCTAAATAATAACAGCAACAGTTAAACGGTTAACCTCTGCCAGGCATTAAACGCCTGACAGTATCTCATTTAATTTTAAAACAGCTGAACAAACAATCAGAAGTGTGAGATATAATTATTACCGCACTTTTATAAACATGTTTCAATAACAGCACCAACAGTCACTAGTCCATCAAGATCAAAGCTAGGATAAGACCCAAGACTGATTCCAAAGCCCTTATTATTAGACCTTCTACTGTACTGCATGAATATTTTAAGTGTCTCCTGTGTACATACATTCCAGATAAAATTATTCTGATTGGCTAGGAATGTTCCCTCAAAAAATATTTGTACCTGATTGTTTTATATTTCTGCAGTCCAGTATTTTGTCATCTGTAATCCTGGTCCTGGTAAGTCCTTGTAAAGCTGTCTTCTACAACAAGGTTAACAAGAATGAATATATAAATACAAAACTAAATTCTATCACAGAACAAAGCATATACTGTCTTGCAGATTTAACAATCCATTTTTTTTTTTTCCTCCAGTACCAGGAATTGAACTCATGACTTCGCGCTTGCCAGGCAGGTGCTGTGCCGCTGAGCTAAATCCCCAGCCCCAACAATCCATTATTTATCTCAGCAATGCTCAGTCAGAGGTGTTCAATTATAAACATAATAAAATTATAAAGTATAACTTTTGGATATGTTAAGTTTCAACAATTTGGACATTTAAACATGTAAAAACACATACTAAAGAAAGTTTGATCCATAGTATTTAGTACAGCAAATTTCTTTATTACCTTAGGGTGGGGGAAAGATTGCTCAAATAAAACATAAAAGCATAAACCACAATAAAAGACTGGTAAGCTTGAGGAAAGGGAAAAATATGCCCCAGAATGGGAGAAGATATTTGCAAAACATATGACCAAAAGCTCACAAAGGATTAGTTCTTAAAATCTATAAAGGATGCCTACAAATTAGGAAGAACAAAACAATACAATTAAGAAATAGGCAAATGATACAGGTTATTTATGGAAGAAAGTAATAAACATATTAAAAATATTCAAATTCACTGCTGATTTATCATGGGAAGGCAACCATCATAAAACCACGAAATCTGCAAATTTTATCATATGCATGACAAAATGTTGATGGCAATTTTTTTCGTAGGAAAAGTTTTGATAGAGGCAATGCCAAAGATAAAAGGTCCCATATAATTCTTCCAATGAATTTATATGCTACAGTTTTTCTATTGGTAAGGCAGTTTTCAAGACTTTAAGCTTAAATTAAGAAAAATCCAAAATAGAGAAAAAAAACTTTCATGTTAGTGTATTATGTAGAGAAAAATGTGTTTCCTGTTTCTGGTCTAAATCTGCTTACAAACTTCCCTCTTACAAACAGGACAGCAACATTTCACATAGACCCAGGGCAGAGGCTGGCATTTGTAGTGGCATGATTTTTATAATGTTGGTATTACAGAGTAAGATCATCCCAAAGGATTTTACTATGGAATGACAGTAAGGTCATCTCATTATCCTACTGTATATTACTTCACCGTTTTTTCCCCTACCTATTGGTTTTGGGATATATGACTTGGCTCATGTACATAGTTACTCATATTAAAAGTCATTTGTTAAAAAAAAAAAACTCCTTTGTGCTTTGCAAAAATAGCTTATACAGTTCTTGATTTTGTTGAAATATAATAAAATGTTATCATAGAATCTTACTGTATTGCAATGCAGAAGAAAGTGGGAGGATAACGACCTTCTCCAAGCAGAAGCAGCTGTTACTGGTTCATCTTTCAAGGCTCGGAGTTGGACAGTGAAGAACCAGTATTTTGTAAGGGTAATTTTTCAGAACCAAACATCTATCAAGTAAGATTATCTGCTGCATATTTCTTATTTCAGGTATTTTCCTAAACTTATATAGTTCAATAATTTATTTCCAAATTATTCCTGATGGGAACAGATAACTCTTATCTGAGTATATTACAAGAGTTTAACTCCTAACAACTAACTACACAGTTGAATAGTCACAAAAAGACAGTCCTTTAATGATGTGGTAAGTATATCCATTCCTAATCTCATAAAGAACGGGTCAAATAATTCTTTTCCCTGTATAAGCATGTAATTGGCAGTCTGTGCATATTATGTTTGGTAAAGTAATCAGTACTAATCAGTGTGTCTGTTGCACAACGTGCCATATTACTTGGTAATACCCTGACTAGATAATAAGTTAAACTGATTATAGGACATACATTCATTTGCCTAATTCATTCAATAAATATTGATTTATTGCCTGCGTAGGCACTGAGTAGAAAGCAAATATGTAAAACAGAAAATACAATAATGTAGAGTAAAGGCATATGAGCTCATAGGTGCTTGTGTCCACATTACTGCAACCCAATTTTGGGCATTTAGAGCTGATATTTTACAGTTAATTAAGAGTTTCTAAATGCTGACAGGTCTGTGTTTTAGACATGTTCCCATAAGAAAAAGGACAAAAACAAGAATTTCTGTACAAAAATACCACTGTTAGTTATTTTGAAATTCAGCGTGATAATATGAGGTCACCTCTTGAAGCCTTGTTTGAGAAACATTTTTTTTCTCAAACACTGGGCTGGTAATGTAGCTCAATGGTAGGGCACTTGTTTGGCATGCATAAGACCGGGTTCAATCCCCAATATTGGGGAAAACAGCCACCTTAATGTTATTTAATAATTCTTCCATTTGGGAAACAGAAAATGAAACAAAATCAATGTCTTTAGGACACCATCATATGATTTGCAGCATGAATGATAGTTCCCAAGTACATGCTTTGATGAGTTATTACCATTAATAGCTTTTGTAGTGTCATCCTTAAGTTACAGGTAATATAAGTACATATAAACATAAAATAATAAGATATAATCTTAATTGTCACTTGCAAAAGTAGACAACATTAGCTTTCATTAAGCACCTCTTAAATGAGCTCTTGGAAAAATAAAAAATAACAATAAATATCTACACAGATACTCATGGAAATGAAACAATTACATCAGAATGAGAAAACTAAAAAACTAAATGTATAATGAAAACTAGAGCACAACCTTAAAGCAAACAGTACTGTCATATGTTTATGAAAAACAGCAAACTAACTGGTAGAACACAGAGATTCAGTTGCTATTTTAATTGCAAAAAGTTTTCAAATTTCAACAAGAGTGCAGAGGCAGATGGTCTAATTAACAGAAACTATGTTTAGTTTCAAGAGATTACTGAGTTATCAACTTGACCTTTTGTAGCCAAACATGGCCAAAGTGTCATTTTCCTTTTCTGTTTGTTCGTTTGTTTGTTTGAGGGGTTTTTTGAGGGGTTGAGACAGGCTCTCACTGTGTAGCTCAGGTTGGCCGTGAACTGACTACATAGCTTAGGCTGGCCTCAAACTTGCTGTGTTCCTCCTTGCCTCAGCCTCCCAAGTGCTAGGATTATAGACATACACCACTCCACCTGCCTGTTACTTTCAAATATGAGAAATAACACAAACTACAAAATGTTTTAAATTGTTATACGAATGAGCCGGTACTTGCAAGTTATCTGTAAATCAATCTGAAACTTACTTCTTAATGAGTTCATCAAAATTTTAAATAGATCTTAACATATCTATTAAATAAAATCCTAATTATTTAAAATGTTGGCACCACCACATAAATAATTCAACAGGAATAGCCCTCTTGACCTTGGCTCATTTCCATTTGGATTCCTTTTATTCAGTATCATAACCACCCAGCATAATACAGAAAATATTACAGTATAGTTGTAATGGTTTACACACAGAATATCCACCAAAACTCTCAGGCACTCAAAGGCAGGGCTTTTGGAAGGTGATTGGATCATAGCATGCTACACCTATTAATCTATTGATGAATCCATAACTGAATGTACTATTAAGAGGTAAGGTCTAGCTGGAAGAGGTGGGGCACTGGAGGTGTGATCTGGAAGGATCTCCTCTCTGGCTCCTACCTTCTCTCTCTACTGCTTCCTGGCCACCACACATGAGCAGATTTCCTCTGCTGGATTCTTTTACCACGGCCTTCCTGCCTTCTAGCTAGCTGACTCTATCCTTAACTGTAAGCCAAAATAAACTTCTTATGTTATGGGTATTTCATATTTTGTCCCAGCAACAAAAAAGTGATTAAGACAAAAGTCTCAATTTATGATTTACTCAAGTATCACCCACTCATATTTGTTAGCTCATGGTATCTTCCACAGGGAGATACACATAATAGATATGAACTCAGGTTAGATGAGCAAGGCTGAAGACATAAAAGACATTCTAATGTCACATTAATGTAGGAAAAAAACTGTTAAGGCTTAGAATTCTTGGAGATCTTCATGCCATTAGAAGGGAGTCACTGTGTGAATGAGACACATGTTTCTTCCAGATAATAAAAGCTAGAATTACACTGTCTTGCCATTCATGGGTATGATGAATATCCTTTAGAGGTGAGCTATCTGCCAACCTGAAGTAGATATTGCCACAGGTACCTTTACTTTCAGCTTTAAACAGGAGTCCTTGATGTCATTCCACAACCCCAATAATTCTGCTTCTGGTCTCCTTTTCCTGGACATTTCTGATTTGTAATAACTCCAGATAAACTTCAGACACAGGCATATCATAATGTCAAATAGCTGTAAAACCTCCAATTGAATATGACACTCTCCTAATAGCATAAGCAAATTCAATGGGTTCCCTACATTTATACTTGTAGAGTATTGGTGTACAAATACTAGGTATTTGTAATCTACTTCATTTAAGTGAAGGACCTTGAAGGAACCACATTTTACTTCCTAAAATTGTTCCCACCCCCTTCTTTTTCTAACAACTATAGATAAAAGGTTTGTTAGGTTTGTCTGGTTCACTTAGAAATCTGTATGAGATATCACTTAATATTACAATATGATATCCTATCAGGTGATTGAAGCTCCCCTTCTAGATGGTTTCAAATTTTAAAAAGTAATGATCACTCTTACAAAAGAACTTCACTAGTTCCCCTCATGGCTTAATATCAAAGGGACTTTAAGAAGCAATCACAACCCCAGCTCCACTGGAAAAAGAAAGAAGCAATCACAAAGTGCAGTAAACTGTAAAGAAACAACAGCCATCCATGAGGTATTGGTTGCGGGACACTCTACCCGCTGACTACCAAGATTTGCCAGTGCTCAAGTTCCTTGCATGAAATAGTGCAGCCAGTGCACATAACCGTCCTCTTTGTACACCTTAACTTGATTTAAAATGCCTACGATAGTGTGAATGTTATGTGAGTAGTGGATATACCCTATTGTTAGGGAATAATGAGCAAGAAAGTGTACATGCTCAGGACAGGCTCAATTTTTAAAAAATGATTTAAACTGGAGGCTTGTTGAGTCCCAGGACATAGAACGTAAGGTTATAGAGAGTCACCTGTATAGTATTTCTCAACACATCTGTAGTGGTTGTTTGGTTAGTATCTCCCATGTAAGAGTCCAGTCTCTTGATGTGATGATTTAAACTGTACATTCCTGAATAATTTCAACTCTACTTGGCAGAAATGATTTCTTACATATAAAAAGATAACACCTGTCACAGTGGTCCCAATGTGGGCCTCCATGAAGGACACACTATTGCATGGCAACAAATATTCTCTCCCAGAACGGTGTTTAATTCTGAGCCCCAGCTCTCCATCTTGAACATCACCTTAGATTTATCCTTTAGAGTTGCCATCACCACGCTGTTTAGAATGCAGCCCACATCTGCACTCTCAATTTCCTTTCACTGCCTTTTCATTTTTCATAACATCTACAATTTTATGACATAATAATTAAATGTTGGTTATTATTTTTTCACTGTAACATAAGCACCCAGGGAAGGGATTTTCTGTTCACCGAAAAATCACAAGCACCTAGAACAGCGCCTGAGAAAACACTATTTGTTGGATGAACTCACGTTCAGTACAAAATCTAGAGTCAGATTCCAATTCCACTGATGGAGTTAACAAATACTTTCTATGGCTAACAAATATTTTATTGTATACTATATAGTTTTCAGATAGTGATTAAGTGCTACAGAGTAAGCTTGGAGAACCAGAGACGGGACTGCTTTAGATAATCATAATTGTTTGAAGACTTAACATCTGATGTCATGCAGATTTGGACAGAGTAGAAAAGTGAAGGCTGAGCTGGGAGGAAATGGTAAATGCCCTGGGGTAAGGTCTAGTTACTGCCTCAAAACAGCAGTAAAGCGGAGGGACGGGGTTGCAAGAATCTACTCATTCTAGGTGCCCTACCTACTACTAAATAACACATGCACTGTCAAGTGGGTAAGAAAGGGATTACATTTCACCTAGACTACTCAAATTCTCAGAGCCTAAGTGGCTCTTCTATTCCATTCCCTGCATGTCCGTACCAATACCTTATATACGATTGCAAGGCACACAGTAATGTTTGTTAAGAGACTTCACAGGAGCCCCAGTCGTTACGAAACTGACTTAACTAAGTACCACTGCTCAGCAAAGTGTAAATACAGGCAGAAAATCAATACTACGGAGGTGCAAAGCCAGAAGGCTCAGTAAATATTAAGCAGTGATTATTACTTTCGAGCCTAGGTGACACAGCAAAGTTCCAAAGCTCTGTTTGTGAATTCAAACGTCTTTATTCAACTTACAAAGATTAAGTCGCCGGGGGATACACGCAACTAATTCTATTACATGCACTGCGTTAGTCTTGGGTTCGAACTCTTGCGACATTTTATGCAGTTCTGCAAAGAACAAAAGCCAAAAGTCCATTCTGAACTTGCCTTCCAACTCAGGCAGTAAAGTTGTTCCTGCACCTAGGCAAGCACTTGGGAAGTTTTCAACACCTGAAAACAACTACTTCCGGGGCTGAGCAGAGCGGGGTCTTCCGGCTGAAGAGGAGAGCGCTTTCTCCCGCCCCCGCCTAGCAGTTCCAAGTCAGCTTTGCCTATTCCGCCCAACCCCTCCTCGGCAGGACCATTTGTCTGAAGCCGAAACCGAGTCAGGGAGCCGGTTCGGGGCCCCGGAGCTAGGGAAGCAGGTCTGGGGGACGGGCGCCAAGGGTCGAGGCGACAGAAATGAAAACACAGGCAGCCTGCGCCGAGGAAGAGTGCCAGGGAAGGCGAAGTCCCAGGCAGACGCCTCCGCCGGGCCAGTTCGCCTGAGGCGCCCACAACTCGGAAACGTAGAGCCTGAGCAGCTTGCAGGCAGCCTTGTCCTGGGACAACGCCAAACCCAACCTTACGCCCTCGACTCACTAGCGCAGGGTCGCGCTGGCGCAAGGCCTGAGAAAGGAGGCAACCGAGCGGGCCTCCGCGCCCGCGGCCGTGCGCAGGCGCAGCACAGCTCCCGCCCGCGGCCTGGGCCGGGGTGCGGCCTCGGAGGCGCGCGCCCAGCCCCGCACGGCGGAGTTGCGCATGCGCGGCGACGCCTTGGTCCTCGGCCGGGGCGTAGCTTTCGCCCTTCTTGCCCCTCCACTGGCTCGGAGGCGGCTGGCCGCCAGCGCGGAGTGAGGTGGCCCCCCAGGGGGTACCTGTGAACGGCCCGATTCAGCCCCGGCGCCTCCCCTTCGCTTCCCCTCTTCTCCACCCCCTTACCTCAGCGCAGGCCCGCGCCGCGTGTGCTCCGCCTCTCAGGTCGCGGTTACTGCTCGGTCGCCGGCCCAGCACTGCCACGAGTAGGCGCCTCCCCCTCAGCGGTCGGACCGGGGCCCGGCGCACTTCGGCTCCCGGCGGCTCGGGAGGGGAAGGAAGGGCTGTGCGGGCGAGGGGAGGGGGCCGGGGCTGCGCCGCGCCCCTCCCCCTCCTCCCGCCCCCGCCCCCTCGGCGGGGACCCCGGCCCTCGGCGCCGCGGCGGCCCGGGGGGCCTCCTCTTCTCGTTTTGCGGGGAACTCCCCAGTGGGACAGACCCACCTTCTCCGGGGTTGTAGTCCCGATTTGGGGCAATTCGCATTTTACAGTTTCAGGTCTTTAAGGCTTTGATCTGGTTTGGGTTGTTTTTTTTTTTTAAAGTGAGCTAAGGGACTGATTTCATTGTACACATGGGCCATCCAGTTTTACCAATTTTGAAAACCGGGGAAGATGTTGCTGAAAGCAGGGAGTGATGGCACACTCCTGTAACCCCAGCACTCAGGGAGGCCGAGGCGGGAGGATTCTCGTGAGTTTGAGGCCAGCCTGGGCAACAGAGTTCAAGACCAACCTGAACTGCATAGTGAGACCCTAAAAACAAGCCTGCACTACATAGACTCCGTCTCAGTTTTACCAATTCTGTTTATCGAAGAGACTGTCTTGTGTTCTTGGCAGCTTTGTTAAACATCACCTAGCCTTTTAGAAGAAGGCATTTCCCATCATTTGCATTTGCAACAACAGATGAACCTGGAAGACATGTTAACAGAAATAAGCCGGCACAGCAGGCCAAATACCGTGTGATCTCCCCTGTGTGGAACCTTAAAAAAGTCGAACTAGTAGAAGCAGAGAGTAGAAAGGTGGTTAAGCAGGGCTGAGACTGGGAGATGGGGAGATTGTGCTCAAAGGATACAAAATTTTAGGTAGGAATAAGTTCAAGAGATCTATTGTACAATACGGTACCTAGTTAGTAACAGTGTACTGTACTTTGAAAATTGCTAAGCGAGTTTAAGTGTTCTTAACAAAAACATGTAATGCATATTAACTTGTAGCTGTTTCAGAATCTATACATATATCAAAACATGTTATACATTATAATTTTGATTAGCCAACAAATTTAAAAATTTTTAAAGTAGCAGTAATTTCTATAGTGTTTTCTTGGTCTGAGCGCCTTCTGACACATGATCTCAATCATTACCTGAAACTTACGTAATTCCGGCCCCATCTTACAGGTGAGACAGTGGCGACAAGTAACTAGGATTCAAACTCATCTCTGGTTCCAGTGTGGAGCTCTTTCCACTTGGCCATGTGGTCTCTCCAAATGAATTGGGAGGGCAAATGGACCAAATAGTAAAAGGCCTTGGTAGTGTGCCAGGAAGATGTATTACAGAGTCCCACAAAAGATTTTAAGCAGGAGGATGATGTCATGCCCTTGTGTTGAGCAGACCTGCTGCTGAGCCAGTAGGGAGAAAGGTGAGCCTGCACCCAGGGAGACCAGGCTAAGAGTCTATTCCATCAGACTAGATGGGTCAGTTTTTGAACTTGCAAATCAGCTTCCTTCAGCATCAGAAGTGCTCTTCTACTTTCATACATGCTTCTCTTGGTCAATGGTCAGCCCTGGATTGGCTTTTCCCAGTGTTTTCAGGGATAAGGGCCAGGATAGAAGATTGTTTCTAGGGTAAAATAAGCAAAGAGAGTTCATGCTTAGTTTTAATTTTTAAATCCCATAGGCACACGTGGTGTAATGGTGTACTCTAATTTGCTGCAGTTCAACATTAGAGTCTGGACCAAATCCTTAGCAAATAAGCAGGACCATTTATTTTCAGTGTATGTACTTCTGCTGGGAACCTTAGAAAAAACCAGGTCAAGCAAAGGAGTTGGGTTTTCTTGGCTCTCGTGGTCCAACACCACCTTACTTGCTCTCACTTTTTGCATGACCTACATATAACTTAAGCTGAGAAAGTAGACTGAAAAACTTTTAGAAATAATAGTAGAATTTAATGATGAGAACGTTTATAAAATCAATATATAGAAATCAATATGATGAGACTATAATACTACTCAGAGGTGAAAGGAGAATGAAGAGATACACCCTGTTTTAAAACATGAAGCCTCAACTGGGTGTGGTGGCGCGTAACTATAATTCTAGTAGTGAGGGAGGCTGAGGCAGGAGAATCACAAGTTCAGATTCCCTAAGTAAGTTAGCAAAACCCTGAATTAAATTAATTAATAACAAAAAGCCTGGGGATGTAGCTCAGTGGAAGAGTGCTCCTGTGTTTTATCCCCAGTTCTGGGGTTGGGGAAAGTAGGACTTGGGGCTGGAGGTGTAGCTCAGGGATTGAGTGTTTGCCTAGCATGTGGAAAGCTCTGGACTCCACCCCTAGCACTGCAAATAGAGCAAACAGAACACTGTAAAGAATCCATTCTCCTAAAGTTTACCTACAAATCTAATGTTCCAATAAAAACTCCAATGATTTTGACTTAAATAATTTTAAAATCTACCAAACCATAGTTTGGTAGAGGAAGATAATTTGACTTTATTATTGGACTTGCCCTGTGAGTGAATCTCACCTTAAGTAGTTTTCTAGTATGAAAGGATGTAGAAAAATGATCATCATAGCATTATCTATAATTGGGAAACATGGTGCCTTAGTCCCTCAGGTGTCCATAACAAACTATATTAGCCTGGGTAATTTATAAACAAAAGAAATCTATTAATCACATTTTTGGAGGCTGGGAAAACCACGGTGAATGTAGCAGCAGATTTCATGTCTGGTAAGGGCTTGCTCTGTGCTTCATAGATGGCAGCTTGTCATGTCCCTCATGGTGGAAAGAATGAATACTGCCTGTGTCCTCACATGGCAAAGAGAACAAGGATCTTTCTTTGAGCCTGTTTAGTAGGGTATTAATTTTTTTTAAAGAAGGTGGGGCCTCATGATTTAATCACTTCCCAAACGCCTCACCTCTTAATAGCATCACTTGGGTATTATATTAAGTTTCAACATAGCACATAAAACGTAACTCTATAGCAAGCTAATTAGTAAATACTGTTGATTACCTATCTAAAACTCACCATTTTATTTTATCCTTTCCTTTTCACTAGAGAAAATTACAAACATACTTTAAAATAGAATAATTAACAACCCCGACATACCCACCATTCAGCTTCAACAATTAGAAACTCATGACCAAACTCGTTTTATTAATGCTTTCACTCTCCCCACCACCCTATTCTTTTGAAGCATCTTATTTTATATATAAACATTTAAATGAATGGCTTTTTTTTTTTTTTTTTTTGATCTTTTTGAGGCAGGGTCTTTGCTATGCAGTTCAGGCTGGCCTTGAGCTCACTTTGTAGCCCAGGCTGGTCTCAAACTCGCAACGATCCTCCTGCCTCAGCCTCCAGAGTGCTGGGATTACAGACGTGCGCCACCACACCCGGCAAATGAATGACTTTAAAAGGATTATTTTTTTAAAAACCTAACCAAAATACTACTATCATACCTACAAGCACAAAATATCGCTACTATACCTACAAACACTGATTCCTTGATCATGTGATGTTCTTTCATAGTTAAAATTTTGAAGTATCTCATAAGTGCCATAATTTTTAAAAACTATTTGGGTGACTTGGAATTCCAATGAAATCTATACATGAGAAGTGTCTTTAAGTTCTTTTTAGCAAAGAAGATGTCCCTTCTCACACTTGATATTCATTAATTGAAGAAACCACTTTATATATCCTCTGGTTTTCCAATATCTGATTTCCCTGAATATACTCTCTAAAATTCTCTTAACTTGGTCATTGGGTCTCGGGTCCTAATTAGATTCATGGTTTTTAAATTTTTTTTCAAGATTACTTAGGTATTTTGTCCTTCCATCAGAGGCATGTGATGTTGGCAGTTGTGAATACTCAATGCCTAGATCCGTTTATTCAGTTAATGTTGGAAATAGTGGTATCCTAACTCTGTGATTGCTTTTTTGCTTATTAGCTAAAATACTTGTGTAAAGGGGAATGTCCTTCCTCCATGATTTAATTTTCTAATTGATGAAGGAAAAGCAAGATAAACATTTGATTCTTTCTCTAAATGTGCCAGTTTTCAAAATAATAAGTTGGTATACTAGCCATCTTCAACTCTCACCAACCCAGCTTGTTGGTTCATTGGTTGGAATGACTGTAAATTGCTGAATTTAAAACTTCATATATTTGATCACTCTTTTCTTGATCAGAACCCTGATTTTTGTTTAGGCAGTAACACAGTCAATCACAGAGAAGAAATCCTGGCCTGAGCTAATTATACCAATCCATCCTTGTTTGGCAGTGTCTGGAGCAGGCATGTGACTGCTCCTGGCTATAAACATGTAGTGCAGGGAAATCCTCTAGCAGACTTCTGAAAGAACACCTCTACCTCCCACCCAGTTTTCCCCTCCTACTTTCTTCCTGTTGTCCTGTGAGGATTTCTTTGGAGAACTACTGCTGAAACTTGGCACATCCCAAAGGTGTTCATGTGACACATAAGCATAAGTATGAACACTAATGTCACAGACCTCAACACTGACAGAGAAAAATATCCAGGATATGTTGCTGATATAGTACAAATCATTAAAACTATATACGTACAACTGAACACAAGTGTGTATGTTTACACTGATGAGGCTTGCTTGGGAATATATTCTCTTAAATAGTAAGAATGGTCATCCCTGAGTGGTGAGATGTTGACTAATTTCTACATTCCTATATTTTCCTATAAAGTTTACATTTTTATGTTAATAATAAACTTTTTATAAAAGAATGATTTGGGGTGATTTCTATTTAGTTCATGGTACTTATAATGTATTTTTTTCTAAATACATAGTCCTCTCATGAAAATTCTTTTTATATAAGACCTCATGACTAGTATCATAGAATTTTTTCCATGGCATGATCAGGAAACAGGAAATGTTTTGATTCTAGAATAACATTTCCTGATAAACATTTTTCTGGACCATTTAAGCATTTCCTTACCTGCATATTTTCATGGCACTTTCTTTGTGTAGCTCCTTGTTATGAATAATAATACTTTATCCCAGTGGAACATAATCATCCTGTTGGAGAAAACACTTTTCAGAAAAGCATGTATTTTATTAGGAAGACATTTTCCATTCAACCAAGAAAATAAAAGTGGTACCTTTTTCACTTAGTGGTTAAAATGGCAAGTGGTTTCCCTTTTGCCTACATTTTTAAAATTTCAGTTTCTTTGGTCTATCTAATTCTCCTAAGAAACTACAAGTTGTTAAACCAAAAATATGTTTTTAAAAAATGCTAGGCCTCCAGAGTAAAATTGAAAGGGGCCTTTCTTACCCTTTGCATCGCTGGTCCTGCCAGGACATTGCACAGGGATTGGAGGCTCGGCTGACCATCACAGTAGACAAAGGAAATAGAATTATTGTTGCATGTCCTGCATTATGAACGTTATTATGGCAAATTCAGGGTAGGAGAGAATCTTGCTCTCTTGGACCTCAAAATCTGAAATTAGAAATGCTAGGAAGACACTCAGGGACCTGAAGCTGGAGAAAAACCTGGAAAGGCATTCTCAGAGGGCACAGATTAATTTGAACAGAGAGTAGATACAGCCAGGATAACATCAGGAGAACAGATGGACACAGGAAAACAGATTGAGAAGTGCCTGCAGGACTCCAGGAATTTGAACAGCAGCTTTGAATTGGAGAGAAAAGGAGAAAGCAGGAATTAGCTGGACATTTACACTAATGTACCTCTCTGGGCATTTCTCTTTTGTTCTTCTAAGCATCAATAGAGTCTTTAAAAAGATTTAGTTTATCTCACCTAGGACAGAGAAAACTGAAAACAAGGGTTTTTATGTTCATCCAGGGTCAGAAATCTAAAGGAGGATCAGCTTGCCCTTGACACCAGCACGGGTATGACTGAGCCAGGTCATCTGCAGGCTGTGTGTTAGTTGAATAGATTCTCCCATTTGGCTGATTGCTGACAGTAGGAATCACCTGCCCATACAAATAGAGATTTGCTCCTGATCCCAGTACAATATCAGCAGGCCGTGGATTCCAAAGTCATATCATAGCCTTCTTCCCTGTTATGACATTCTTTCCTTGTTCAATCTTCAATGTCTTCGGTGAGGTGTGTTTTTCCCACCTTTACCTGGGGGGTCTTCTTACACCTTCTGGAAACAAATTTATCATTTACAGCCTTCCTTTAGCACTGGATGTTCACGCAAATTGCCTTTCAAGGGATAGTCTGTCCTGAGGTCGTCAGAGAAAGACAAGGCTTTCAGAAGGCTTCTCTGGGAACATCAAGAACTCAAACCTGACCTTGTTATATCAGCCCGAACCAATGTACATTTAGAAAAGATACTGTAGTCAATCTGCAATGTGGAGGAAAGGCAGGGATGTCTCCCCTCCATGTCATTCAAAGATGAGGACCTCAGATTTGCTTTGGATCAAGGGTGCCACCTCAGATGCTGGAAAGTTTAAGTGCCCCACCTAGAAGAACTTTGCTGAGACTCTTATTTAGTACCAGTGTCTGCTTCATCTTCCCTCCTCCTGTGAGCCTTATCTAACCCTGGTTATTTAACAGGGTTTTGTGCCTCATGGGCACACCTCCAGAGAAAAACTGGAAACTAGTGCCCCCTCTTATGTTGCTAGGTCAGGTATAATGTTTCTGAAGCTCAATAATATAATGTGAACTGATGATCTCATATATATCTTAGTGGAAAGAGAAACAAAAATGGAAATCTTGAGAGCTTGTTTGGAGAGTCTGAAAGGAGAGCACAGCTACTCCTATACCCTTGACCTAGGAAATGGTCCTCCTCTATGGGGGTGGTTGTCCTCTTCCACCAAGCATGCAGCTTCAGGAGGTATGCACATGGAGTGGTGAGGGAGGAAAGGGACACCACCTAGTCAGCCCGATCAGCCAAATCAACCCTGGTGATCAGTGGGGCAACAGATGTCACGGCCATATCACCCTCACATCCCCAAATGGAAATCCTAACTCTCTTTGTATATTGAAATAATCACCCATGTGGTAAGTGAGGTGAACCCAACTTCAAGCTTTCCAAAATTAAAATTGGAAGAGAGGTTATGAGAAATTCTTGGCTATGTCTCCTAAAGGTACCCTGCTGGGGTTGGAGTATGGCCTGGAACTAAAACCTACCCCAACACAAATGTCTGTTAATCTTAGCCCAGGAGCAATATAGAAGGAGAAATGAAGAGTGATACTAGGCAAATTAGGAATCAATTAGCAATCAATGATCTACAACAGGGCTGCCAAATTTAAGCAGGAAGGAATTTTATCTTCAAAAAACCCAGAAAGATGTGACAAAATGTGCCTCACTTTTGATAGCCTGATTTCTTCCTCAGCACTCACTGACTTCAATTTCCTAGAATCCCTCTCTCTCCTTATATAACTCAACATTTCAGATCAGTCTTCCTTCTCTGATCTCTACCTATTAATCAGCGTCTACCCCATACTTAATTTACTGAGGTGTCTCAGCCCTCGTTTAGCCAGTTTTCCTTGTTCCTGTGGTAGCATACCTTCCATTCCTTTCTTCTCCCAGTGCAGCCCCTTAAAAGAGTTCATGGCTCATATATGTCTCTCACCTCTGCATAAAAGCTCAGTGGAATTTTTGCCCCAAAGAGACAAACTTCAGAAAGCCTACTGCCCTCCCCTCCTACTCCACATTTTTCTTTTCTTTTTTCTTTTCTTTTCTGTTCTTTCCTCTCCTCTCCTCCCCTCTCCTCTCCCTCTCTCCCTCCCTTTTCTCTTCTCTTCTCTTCTCTTCTCTTCTCTTCTCTTCTCTTCTCTTCTCTTCTCTTCTCTTCTCTTCTCTTCTCTTCTTAGTGTTTGGAACCAGAAGATGAGTATTTTGGTTAACACTAGTGCATGTCTTTTTGCTCACAGAGTGTATGATTGATTGATCCTAGCTTTTAGATGCAAGGCTGATGCTTTTAGCTTTGTACTCCCAAACTATTGTCTCTTTGCATTTCCTTTGCCCTAACTTGATTTGGCTTATAATATAAGTTAGTGATAAGACATATGCATAGAAAATCATTTGTTATGTGGAACCATGCAACAACTCTGTTAAGGAGAAAAAGATCTAACATTCATTGAGTACCTATTATATACCAGGTATAAACACACTTAGTCACAAAGATAATACTGATAGTTACATGCTAGGCATTGTGCTAAGCCCTCACCTATGACCTGTTTTAATCCTCATACTAACTCCATGAGATAAGCACTGTGTTACTACACTCGTTTGATAAATGAAAAATTTAAGCTTAAAGAGGTTAACCAGCTTGGTTTCAAGCCTAGGTTTGTCTGAATGCAGCACCTTCTTTACAATATATTAGAAAATGAGTCATATAACATAACTTACTCTGTAAAGGTCTACTAAGTCCATTTGTTCACAAGTTTGGTTTAGTTCTGTTATTTCTTTGCTGATTTTTTTGTCTAGTTGATCTATCTCTTTGTGACAATTAGGTGTTAAATTACCCCACTACACTTGTGTTATTGCTTATTTGATTTTTCATGTCTGTTAAAATTTGTCTTATATAGTTGGGTGCTGCAGCATTTGGTGCATATATATCTATGATTGTTATCTCCTCCTCTTACAGTTTTCCCCTAACAAGTATGTAATGACCTTCTTTTTCTTTTTTGATCGTTCTTGGTTTGAAGTTCACATTGTCTGCAATCAGAATAGCTACTCCTGCTTTTTTCTGGGTTCCTGTCACATGGAGTATTGTTTTCCATCCTTTGACTTTCAGCGTATAAATTTCCTTTTGAGTTAAGTGTGTGTCTTGTATGCAGCATATTGTTGGGGGCAAGCTTTTTTTTGTCTTTTTGAGACAGGGTCTTGCTATCCGGTTCAAGCTGGCTTTGGGCTCACTTTGTAGACCAGGCTGGTCTTGAACTTGAAGTGATCCTCCTGCCTCATTCTCCTGAGTACTGGGATTACAGGTGTGCACCACCACACATGGCCAGTGGAAAGTTTTTAATAAGAAGAGATCCCTGTTGTTGATTCTCTGTGATAGGTCCTGAATGATCAGGGTTTTGTTAATGAAGTGTTTACCTATACCAGTGTCTTCAAGGGTTCTATGTATTTTCTCTTCTAGTAGATTCAATGTTTCTCTTTTAATATTTAGATTTTTGGTCCATTTTTATTTTAGTTTAATGTGTAGTAATAGACAGGGTTCTGGTTTTATTCTTTGGCATGTGGAAATCTGTGGGGACCACCAAGTTATTTTCCCTTGAGAAATGAAGCTCTTTACCTCCATTTTAAACTGAGCTTTACTTCAGCCCTATTTATTGGATATGCAGAGCTGGCTATGTAGAAGAAGGTGTTCCCATAATTGGCCAAAAGAATGTCACTAAATTTGGCAGAAGTGCCAATATGTCTTGTCATAGCAAAGCAGCAACACATGGTTGAGAATCTCACCCCTCATACTGATGGCTGGAATGAAGCCTCAAGCAAGAGCCTGTGAAATTTCAGGGCTAAAACATGAGATAATATCTCTTCTGAGCCTGTGAGACTCAAAAGAAATATACCTTCCCAGAAGTAAAGGGACCGAGTTTCCAAACATCAAGTTATTTGATGCACCACTAGTTGGGAAGCCTCTGTGTTTGGTTCAAGAGTGCTTTGTTCCTCCTTTACGAGCCATGACTGCAAAAAATTATTCCCATGTACTCTGCCACAAGCTCCACCTGCCTCCTTGATTAGTACCAATAGAAGTCATGATCACTCTGATTCTTGGTCCTTTGTTTCACTGAGACCAATTGGTCATTTCAGAGTCCCTTGAAATTGCAGATCTTCTTTGTCTTTCTTCATCTAAATGCCACATTGCTGGGTGGGAGACTGAACTCTCCATGGGGGTTTTGGTAGAAAGCCAGTTTTTCCAGCATCACTTATTAAAGAGGCTATCTTTCTTCCAGTGAACTTATATGACCCCTTTGTCAAAGATAAAGTGAATGAATATGTCTGGATTTATTTCTACATCTAATCCATTCCATTGATACTCAGGCTGTTTTGTTTTGGGTCAGTACTGTGTTGTATTTATCACAGTATCTTTGTAGT